TTTTTGTTTTTTTTTTTTTTTTTTTTTGTCAACACGGTATCCGCCGATTTTTGGATAATTGATTTTATGTTCTTCCATTTTTTATTCAAATGTTCATTTAAGTTTCCTTCTTAAATAATCTAACACTATATTTGTCATGCTGTAATTTTGATCTTTGTGGTTTTTCATATCACAAAGTTCGCATTTCACCATTACTAGATTGTAATCACTGTCACAATCAGCACTTGGATATTTTTTACAGAAATTAACTTGGTTCTTAAAGCAATTTTTCAATAGTATGTAATCTATTTGGTAAAGGGTAATATCGCCTGGCATTTTTCATGTATATATTCTTCTATTGGAGTTTTGAAATCTGGTGTTCGTTATAACGATCCCATTTTCTCTGTAGTACTTTACTACTCTTTCGCCTCTTACATTTCTCAGGACAACTATATCGAATAACATTTCATAAAGCCATCTTATTAACGATAACCAAAAAATTATTTTCTCTGATGATATTATACATTATTACATTGCTTGATGAAATATATACATGACTCCGTCAATTAGTGGGGCACGTGCCCATGTGACCCCCCCCCCCGTATTTATTGGCGTATTTAGAGGGCTAAATACGCCACTGATCAGTTAGGTAAGTTACTAACGTATTCGGAATGGGANCTAGCCCCCCCCCCCCCCCCGTATTTATTGGCGTATTTAGAGGGCTAAATACGCCACTGATCAGTTAGGTAAGTTACTAACGTATTCGGAATGGGAAAATATGAAAGATGTGTGTTATATAACATATTTAAAAATATATATATTATCTTATAAGTTTGATTGAAACACCTACGTAATTAAAAAATACGAGCCATTATTGTATATATTGGATGCACATACAGTAGGGTCTCGATAATCCGAACGAGATTGGGGAAAAGGGTCGTTCGGATTAGCGATTTGTTCGGATTACCGATGGCTTAAAAAAAAACATCAATTTTATCGTAATTTAAATTATGAAATTGTATTTTTATCTGTATTAATCGTGTAAAAATTCGTAATTTCAAAAGAATATATAAAATATATAACATATAAAATAAAAATGAAAGTATAAAAATATTAATATAATTATGGGTATATGTAATTATGAACCTTGTTTGAGTGTTCCTTTAACTAAAATTTAAAAGGATAACACTCTAAGTAGAAGTAGACAATAGAATATGGAAGATTATTAATAGATGTTGAGAGTATTCATATATTGATATTTCTATATAAGAATATTATACAAACATAACATATCACTAAAATTAATGTTAGTAAAACTTAACTATACTAGAAATATATACATAGGTACATTAATAGATTATTTAATAGTAATGTAAAATAATACAATAAAGGCGACCTGTACATCCACAGATGGCAGTGACCTGGTTTGCGGCTGGATTCCGAATTACAGGAGACTTGGTACTGAAGGCGTTCCACAGCGTGGAAATGAAGTTAACTCGTCCCGACGATGGCGAATTTTGGCGTATGCGAAACTATGCGCGTATACACCATTGCGATGCTTTAAAAAAACACAAAATAAGAAAAAAAACGAAACGATAATATACCGTTCAGTTTGGTATCAACGATACTCGAGCGAGTGTTTTTAATTGCGAAAAGAATAATACTAACTCGTTTTAACGAGTCGCGTGGAACTCGTTTAATTATTTTTATCAGCGGTCAATCACATATTGATGGGGCGGTCACAACAAGTCACCATATGACTGTATACGCAACCAACCTTACTATTTAAAATATTGATTTATTTTTTTTTGTACACAGGTTTCTATTATGGATTGGTATGCCTTGTCCCATAAACGTCTAAGCAACATAAGTACTTCACAGCTTTCATCGTTTTGCTCAGCCCACTGTATGGCCGTATTTAACGCTATAATGTCATCTAAGCAGATATTTTTGAAGGGGGCAAAAATTCATCATCTTCTTCCTTCTCAATATCCTCTTTGGTCACGGCATGTATGATTTCATCATCAGTTAAAATTTCCTAGTGTTGTATCTCTTCATCGCAGCCCCCAGATGCCCACTGTTGAATTTCATCCTCAGTGATGGCTGTGTTTGGAGCCAACTTGTCTAAAAGTGGGGTAAGGATAATGTTTTCCCCCTGAACTTCATTGGTTTCGTTCACATCCACCAGTTGTGGACTAAGATATTTCCATGACATTTTAATCAGATGTGACGAGACAGATAACCAACAATTAGCCAAATTAAAAACAACATCTTTAAGATTGATTTTTTTCAAAGCTGCTACCAAGTTAACTCTGACTGCACTCTCAACATTTGGATTTTCTGGTTGTTTCAACGTTTTATGCTTACCTGGACCATTTTCCGTTTCAATGACAAACTTCTCTATTTTTTCCTTGTTTTTTTAATATCACTGATGGTAGATACACCTATCCAAAATTGTCTTGAAATAGTACTGTAGCTGGTCCCTTTGTTAATTAATTTTATAACTTCTAACTTATCCTGTAATTTTAATGCAACATGCTTACGTGGAGCCTTTTTAAGAAAATACGCTAATAAATGTTACAAATACGCAGTGTAAAGCAATCTTTATGCAGTATGACACTCAACTGACGAATGTATGTAATCAATGTTCATATCTAATGTATCATATCTAAACGACGTACATGTGCAATGTCGGATGTACAAACATAATCGAAAAATTTTATAACCGGAATATATTATTTATAAATAAATATGTACATATTATAGCAATAAGATAATTCTCAAGCTCATTCGGATTAGCCTGTGTTCGGATTATCGAGACCCTACTGTACTCAAAAGTTTTACAATATCTCTCTTTCGTCATACATAATGTTCAAAAAAAATATTTAAAGTAAATGACATAATAAATGGAATCATTTGTAACTCGTATAAATAATATCAATATTATTTGTTCCAATGGTAACATTAATGAAAGGTGCCATGAATGCTTTAGATTTATTACACAAGAAACCATGGGTTACTGGTGATAGAAATAACTTCATAAAATATTTGTAGTAAAAATAAGTATTGTAAACGATGAAGCTGAACAACATTGTGAATATTATCCGTATGATACGAATTATTTATGGAATGAATGAGTTCAGAGTATAATGAAATTATTGGCAATGACGTAAAATTATCATTTTTTAAATTTATAACCAGAAAACTTAATGTTTATGTTAGAAGAGTAATTATAGAAAAGTATTTTCAACTGAGATTGAAATTTGATCCAATTACCGAAAAAATGTTTTTATCAACACCGTAAAAACTAAATGAACTAGGTGCTTAAATTTAAAATATAAATTAAATTATGTAAATAAATCTTATAAATTTTTTTTATGAATTAAGCATTGAAATTTAAAGCAATAGATGAACTTTTTTATAACATTGCTGTCACAGGCACGTATTGTTTATTATCAATTATGAATATCAATACATATACTTTCTGTATTGTCAATTAATATATTTATAAACTCACAACAACGTGCCTTACTACCATTGATAATAACAATGCTGTGTACCTGCTAATATCGATCTCATAAAAACTAATAAGCTACCTGGATTTGTAATCCTTTGTGTATTACACATGTATAATATACATTGTATATTAACTCAAAAATTAAAAATTTTAAATGTTTATATCTAATAAACAATTAAAGTTATACTAAACATCAAATGCCATTTACTATTAAATTAAAAACTCAAACATTTTATTAAATTCAAAATATGTGTTCCCATTTAAAAAAACAAAGTTAACACCCTTACCAGGCATAAGGGATGAACTTAAAAAGTATTACATAATTAATAATTCAAGAATAATGTATAACTAAAGATAACCAAAATAAAAAAACGATAGCTCAGCGGGGTCGAGACACAGTGTGGGCGTGGCATAGATGGGACAAGTATAGATGATATCTGACAGTGATTAAAATCACTATCATAAGAAACGTTTCGATGAAAATCTGTAGATAGTGTTTCATTTAGAGAAATTGGTGGATTATTCCAAAAGCAACATCAACTCTTATTTCTTTAATTATATCCTGATTAGTAGTTCTTTGATTTTAAAATATAATATATGAATAAATACTAATTATAGTTTTTAAATTTAGTATGAAATTGTGAGGCCAGCTATGATGTATGGTTCATAGTGTTGGGCGGTTGATAAGAAAGTAGAGCAGAGAATAAGTGTAGCAGAGATGAGAATGCTTAGTTGGATGAGTGGAGTGACTAGAGAAGATAGGATAAGGAACGAGCATATAAGAGGAAGTATAGGTGTTGCGTCAATCGTGGATAAGATGACAGAAAATAGACTTAGATTGTTTAGTCATGTTATGAGGAGAGAAGAATCGGAAGCTGTAAGAACAGTTATAGAAATGAATGTTGAAGGAAGAAGAGATAGAGGAAGACCAAAAAAGAGATGGAGGGATGCTATTGAATGCGATTTGAGGACAGCTGATGTGAGCGTAGAAGATGTGGGAGATCGTGTCAAGTGGAAGCTTAGGATAAGGGTGGCCGACCCCAAGTAGTTGGGATTAAGGCAAAGAAAAAGATTACCAGAAATTCCGGTGGCAATTGACATAATATGATTGATGTTTGGGAATGTACAATTTAGCGTTTAGTTGGGTATAAACAATATAGCGTCAAATCAATTACCTACTCTATCGCTTGTATATTAATATACATTACACTTTAAAGATAAATAAATTAACTCACACATACACACAAGTAGGGTAAAATAGAGAGTTCTAAGCCCCCCGCGCCTCACCCCTTCACCCTTCATCAAATTTATCATTGGCTACCAGACACTTAGGTAAGCATATTTTAAACATCAAAGATGTCGCCATACAGTAATAATCACTGTTGTATGCATTTAATTTTTACATAGTATTTTATCGTTGGTTACCAGACGCTTAGGTCAGCATATTCCAGACATCAAATGTATTACTATATTATAACGTTCATAGGCGCCAGCATTTTATGAGAACAAAGACGACGTCTGTCGTTATGACATTATAATTTCTAAGAATGTTATCATCGGTTACCAGACGCTTAGGTCAGCATAATTCAAACATTAAAGAGGTCATCGCACAGTAATGATTATTGTTGTATGAATCTTATCATCGGATGTCAGACGCTTAGGTAATCATATATCCAAAGATGTTACAATATATTAATGGTCACTGTTGTATCCATTTTATGAGAAAAATGGCAACGTTGTCTTTTTTCACGCCTACGCATTCTGTTATTTTACTATATAACCGGTTAAACGCTCTGTATCCTGTCACATTCGTGTTTAATTGATGTTAACGCACAGTTGATTATTTGAAAACTATAAATTTATTATTTTAATATTTTACACGCACAAATAAAAAATCATGAACCAGCAATTGTCTTCTGTAACAGGCATGTAGATTTTTTAACATTTTAATATCTCTTTAATTTTACCACCCCTACTTTTTTATTTATTTTTTTCCAATAAATAAATAATTTATTTCATTTTTGATTAAAGCTACTTCCGCGACATCTGTTTCATCACGTCAGGCGGCTAAGCGTAGTAGGACCAACAACAGCGCGATTAGGTCGAAAAGGTTACGTATGCAATTGACGGATACCAGTGATTTCACCGAGATCGATTCCGCATTGGAGCGAGGAGCCGTTTGGTTTTATCGGAAGAACGTGGAAAATTTCGCGAGCTATCGAGATTTTCTGCGCGCCGTTAAACCCGAGCTGGTGGCCAGACTCGCTGAAATCGTAGGTAACCGTCCGATCAAGTATAATCTCAAATTGGAGGCCACATACCATATACCGCGATCAGAAGCACCGTCTGAAGACCGTGCTTTCAAGACAGGGGCTAGGGCATTGCTATCCGATACGGATATCGGGTGTGCGGTCGATGAAGATTTTGAGGTTATGCTTGCCGAGGAAGACGCGTACTCGGGTAGGGGTAGCGGATTCACGCTAACGCATATCGACGGCCTTATGCTCAGCGTATACAAGTATACGCCCCTCGCCGGCTCATCATTTATTCCTGTCCCACCAGAGATTAATCAAAGAAAAGCAATCATCAACCCACAGAATATCGACCAGTCTTGCTTCAAGTGTTCCATTTTGGCGAGACACGTCAAGGGAGACCACAAATATCGCGTTGATCGAAAATATTTTAACGAGGAACACAGGTATGATTTCACGAGGTTGACGTTCCCCACACCTGTGTCCCAAATTAAAATATTTGAGCGACGAAACCCTAACGTGTCTGTCAATGTGTACGGCTTGGAACGAGACGACGTTAAGATGAAGTGGTTGGTGTATCCTCTAAGAGTCGCCGACCAAGAGCAACAGAATCATTTTGACCTGTTGTACATCGGTGACTCTGACAAGTATCATTACGCGTACATTTCCGATTTTTCAAGGCTTGTGCACAGTCAAAAAACCAAACACCTAGGTTAAAAAAAATACACCAAATGAAAGAAATATATCTAAGATATTTATAATATAAAATTATTTTTCAAAAAGTTATAGGTATTTTTATCAAAAAAAGAATGAAAAATGTCAAAATTTGTTGATATCAAAAGTCATAATTATTTTGAGATTTACTCAATTTACGGGGAAAATTTTTTTAATTTTCGAGAGCTTTGTCTTCAACGTGATACGATTTGTAATCTCTTGACATGTTGTTCATGAAAATTAAGTAAGTAATTAAAAAAGTAACAGCTGAGAAAAAGTGGTAACGAACACAAAAAAAAAACTTCATAGTAAAACTAATACATTCTAGATTTCGCATCGAAACTAGAAATATTAACGTTTTTGGTGACATATCGAGCGACACTGCACGCCGCACCATCATCTGCCAATAATTTAAAAATATAATCGATAGGGGTAGCACTAGACGACAAAAACATCTACAAAAGTGGTCTTAAACATATCTTAAAAGAATGCATATTACTCACTCTGTATTACATTTATGGCTTTAATGCCTACTAAAAATTTGAAAGAGGACAATATATCGAAGGCAATCTCATTTCCATTTTGGGATTAATCTAATATTAAACTTAATAATTGAATTTGAAAATGTACTTTTTTATTAAACTACAATCAATTATAACTCTTTACTAATACAATATATCCAAAAACGAATATGAAATCATCTCCAAAATATTGTTTTCTTTCGTTTTTATAATGGGTGTTATTGCTCTAAGTGCAGTACTTAACCTGTAAAATGCATTTTAAGAAGACATGTTTTTACGCTCTAAAATTGACTGTATAATGTCCTCTTAAGATTACTGCAAACAATCATTTTCTTCTTCTTCTTTGCCTTAATCCCAACTACTTAGGGTCGGCCACCCTTATCCTAAACTTCCACTTGACACGATCTCCCACGTCCTCTACGATCACATCAGCTGTCCTCATATCGCAAAATTACTGCAAGATTACTGCACACAATAGATAAAGTATTATCTATTTTGTGATTATAGTATCATTTGTTTTATCAGTTAATTTAATTTTTTTCAAACGTAAATTTCAAGTCAAATGTTTACATAATTTAAAGCAAACATTTTTGTATTAAAAAGAGTTTTTGATTTTATTAAAATGGTAATTTATTTTAAATACAATTAGTTGAATTATGAATTATGAAAATTAGTTATTATGAAGATTTTGCAAACATTTTAATGATCTTTCTTTTTTTTTTAGAATATATCACCATTTTCTGAAAAAGATTTTGATGTTGTGAATTGGATCAATGACAAACTAACAGAAAAACCTCCTAATGAATGTCGAGAAGTATTAATAATTATTAATTAGTATTAATCAATATTAATATTTCCAATTACTTTTTAAATTAATTTTTCTTTTTTTTAATATATTTAATTTTAAAAATTTAATTACCTTTTTTTAATTGACACTATCTTATAAGTTTTAGTTCTGCTTAATCTTAGAAGTGTTTTAATTAATGATTTTTATATTTTTTAATTTTGTTTTATTGATTTGCAAGATTTTTTTATTTAGGCTTGTAATATATTTATACTAATAAAATACTCTTAAATTATGCTTTGAATAACATAAGTATTTTTTTTTTTTTTTTTACTTTACTGTTATTTATTAATTTATTTATATATTGCAACACTTAAAGCAATACCAAATAGCTGACAATTACAGCTATTTGGTATTGATACAGAAAAAAATATATAGATTATTTGCCATAATAATGACATGTTAAGTGCAACAGAAGATAAAATTTTTCTTTGAGATATGTTTTGATACAAAATTTTCCAATGAAATATCCATACCTTTATTTCTTCTGTCTAGTTATATAAAAAATAAATAAATAAAAGTCAATTTTTAAAAATAAGTCCAAACATGGTATTTACATGAGTGTTACAATCTGATTTATCTTAATATATACTATCTTTATATATATATATATATTGTCATTTTAATTATTTATCAACTACTTTCTGTTTCAATAAATTANTCTTAATATATACTATCTTTATATATATATATATATATTGTCATTTTAATTATTTATCAACTACTTTCTGTTTCAATAAATTAAAATGTTTTTTATTTTAGGTTATACCATCAATGTTAAAAAAATTGCAACTCTGTGTAGAACAAGTTCAAGAAGTATTAGATGAATCTACTGAACAAGTTTTATTTTCTTTACCAAAAGTTATTAATGATGTTGAGAAATTTGAAGATCAAGCAACTAACATAAAACAAAAAATCACTGATTTAAAACAAGAAATAAATTCTGTAACTGTTATTTTAAGTCCATTCTAACTTATTTCAATTCTTAAAATACAGGGAGTTTTTTTTAATAAAAATTTGATATTTTATTTATCAGATGTATTTATAGTCTTTGATTTAAATCTCTAGATTCTTTTGGTATTAAACAACTGAATTTAGTGATTTCAAGCTAGTATAAAATTGATGAACACTTTCAAATATCTTTCCATTTAATGTATTAATTAAAAAAAAATTGTTCTTTAGATTAAGAATAATACTGGAGAATCATTAACGAAATTGCAAATATTTGATGATATTAAATGTAAAATGGAAGTTACAAAACATGCTTTAGAAGAAGCAGATAATTGGACAAAACTAATAGCTGATATTGAGATTGTAAGAAAAAATAATAGTAAATTAATCATTATTTAAAAAGAGCTTTAAACTGAATAAATTTAAAAAAATATTATTCAGCTTATTGAAAATGAAGAATTAGAAAAAGTTACAAAAAGAATAGCTAAGATGCAAAAATCATTAACAGTGTTAAAAAATGTTTCTGATTATGACAAAAGAAAAAATCAGTTAGAAGAACTAAAAAATAAACTAGAAATTATATTAACTCCAATGCTGAATGAAGCTTTTGAGAGTGAAAATATAGGTAAAATTGTGTTATCATTTATTTTTGTATACTGAAAAAATAAAACTAGATTATATCAATGATAGGGTCTTTTACAATGACTGATTTAATCTACTTTCTTTTTTTTAATACATATCTTTTAATTTTTTTTAAAAAGATAAAGTTTCCAAATTTTTAATACAACTATATTATATATTTAGCATTACCATCTACCAATAAAGCTAATATTAATACCAAAATAGATGTCTAATACACAGAGTAATACTAATATCATTTAGATTTTTGTATAGGACCTTTCATTTTTTTTTTTTTAATTTAATGATGTGAAGATTTATTTAATTTACTCTTAAATATTGAAGTTTCATTAACAAAAATAATTACTTGAGGATAATTAAAAAAAAATGATTTACATAATGTTCTGTTTCATGTTTTAATTTGTATGAATGTTTGCTATTTTTAAATGTACAAATTAATTGTCAAAATGTATGAACTATGCTATAATTTTACAAATTGATATTAAGTTAAAGTTAATATAAAAATATTTAAACATATTTAGAAGAATCAAAACGATTTGTTCAAATATTTACGGAATTGGATAAGCATGATCAGATTATCAAGTACTACATTAAGTGTAATAAAAATATGTTACGCAAAAAATGGTCGTCAAAAATTTATGATAAGAAATGTACTTTAAATCCTGTAATATTTTTTGAAAATTTTTATGAATCTTTGATTGAATGCAAAAGACAACAAGTAATTTATTTTGCTTAACTATATTTTTTCATCAAATATATATAAATACACATATTATCTATAGATTATTCTTTACAAAAAATTATTTAATATTGATGAAATACCAGCTATTGAAGCACTGTTGATTCAGTCATATGGAGATTTATTTAATACTTTAGAATTACCAATGTTTGAATTAGTTGATATTTCAATGAAAAATAACAATGCGCCATTGATAATGCTTTTGGATTTATATTCTGTTACGGAAATATTTGTTAAAAACATTCAAAATGATTCAAAAATAAGTATGAGTTTTAAAATTGTTTAACATTTAAGTCTCAATCAATAAAATTGTTATATGATTTTTTACAATAATTTTTGTTTATTTTGTGTTTTTATAGTGAAAATGTTAGCTGTTTTTTACTTATAATATTACATATATTAAATTAATTTATCATAATTTTTTTTTTCAAATGATCTCCATAGTTAATAAAATGCATAATCATGATTAGATATAGTTTAATGATCAAAATAATAAATATATATTACTAAAATTTTCATTGTAAGTTTAGATTTACAGAGTATCGCTATCAAATATTCCTAATGTTTTTATTTTTATATAATTAAGTATTAAATAAATATTCATAAATTCATAATTTAAATTTATTTTAAGAAGTTTATTTTGTTATAGATGATACTTTTAATTGGAATGATGTTCTCATTAATATTTATAGACCTTTAATTCCACAAATTGCATCTTATAAAGATTTGGAGTATGAGCATTCCAAAAAAATTACAGAAATTAAATTTATTAGCAATGATTTAGTTGATATAGTGCAAGAGTTTGCTCAAACACAATTGACATGCTTTAGAGCATCAGAAGAAGCTAGGCGTAGATGTGCAATTTTTAATAATTGTACTTTTCCAGGAATGGTATTTGCAATTAATGTAAGTAATCAAAACATGTTCTCATAGAAGCCAAGTTTATAATTTAATTACTATTTTTTTTTTATAGAAAATTTTTTCTAGTTTAATTGAAGGAGGAAAAGAAATACTGAAAAAAATTTTAGCTAATATTAAAATTGGTGAAAATTGGGACGTGTTCCAAGTTTGTTTAAATTTTTTACAGTCTACTGGTAATTATTAAACTTATAAATAGCTGTAGATTTTGATTTTTTCATTAGCCCTTTTACCAACTATTTTGGGTAATCTACTCGAATGTAAGACATTAGATGATGATGCATAACAGTGAGGAACTATTAAATGAGTTACTAATGTATATTTTTTTAATTACAAAAAATAATCATAGTACATTACATATTTTACATATTATTGGCCAAATACATATTTCATATGAATTTTATCATTCTTAGGAGAGTTTTTAAGGGAATTATATCTAATGGAATCAGAATTTAAATGTTTTCTAATAACAAATGAAAATCGTGCTTTAAATGCTTCTAAATACTTACTTACAGAAGATAAACAAAGAGAACTTCAAACTATTATCAGCTTTCTCAAAGATGGTATACATGTTTATTAATACTATAATAATTCTGCAGCATTGTTTCAAAAACTGTTATCTGCCAAAATTTCCCACTAAAATAATAAAGTTTATTTTCAATCAACTTTTTATATTACTCATATAATAGTTTAACTAGTATCACCTTTAATACAGTAAAATTTGGACTATTAATATTATTATATTATAATCTATATAAATCACTACAATGTCAAGTGACAGTTTTTATCACAATTATGTAGAATATTATAGTAGTAATATATTTTAATCATTAATAAAATTAATAAGTATTTATTTATAATTAGTTAAAAGTGAATGGAAGTTATTCAGAGAAACAATTCAAGGAGTAGAGAGATTATGTTCACATATTTACCAAACCTTTTATAAAATATCATTTCGACCAATTTCTCATTACTTAGAACAAGTAAATAAAATAAAATTTAGCAATGATAATTATTCTGATGCATATAGATTGGCACCAGGAGAATATATTACCCAGGTATTACACTGTAAAAATAGGAATTAATACAATTCCATCTAATATATTAATATTTTTTTTTATCTTAAGATAGGACAATATCTTATTACACTTCCTCAACATGTGGACCCTTTTTTTATGAGAGAAAATGAATCAATAACTACAGCATTAACTTTATCCGATCAGAGGTATTCTGATGCTAATCAGGAGGAAAGTTATACTAATGTGTTATTAAGAATATTATCAAATAACACTTGTGATGTATTTGTAAAGCAAATACAATCTCTTAAAGACCTAAACAATGTAGCTTCTTCACATTTGTCAGCAGATATAGGTAATTATTATATTTATTATAAATATTAGTGTTTTAAATAATATAATATTGATAATGTTTTTTGTGATATTTTATTATAATGCAAAAAACAATCAATATTACAATATACATATAGTATTGTATAAAGGTATGACTCTAAATAAAATTTTATTTGTAATTGGAATGTGCTCCATGTCCATCCCATATTTCTTTATTATGAATAAAGTTGTGGACTAAATCCCTTTTACAATAAGTAAAATTATTAACTAATTATTGAATGTGTATAATAGTACTAAAAATTCTAATATTTAAATTAAATAACAGAAATATATCGTATATATAACACATTAAAGATTTAGATTATATATTCATCTAAATAGAAAATGACATGCTAGTGTTGGCCTCATAAGACATTGGTTTATCAGTGAACTTAAAATGTTAGTAGTTTAGTTAGAAATGAAAGAAAATAATAGTTGAGCATGTAAGCAGAGTTGATATTTTAAAATTAATTTTGGAGAATATATCGTAGCAATCTATTTAATAGATTTAAAAATAATGATTTATCAAAAGATTGCTTATGATTAGAAAAATCAATTAAATAATCAATAATTAAAATAAATTATTTTAATCAATATTTCAATTAATATATTAAAATTATTTGTTATATTATGATATTTACATAAATATTAATGTTGGCAATTAAAAAATTGTATATTTGAAATTTATAACGAAATTAGCTAAAAAATGTTTACGATATTGATATTTAAGTATCAATATAATTTGAAACCTCTATTTAATGCTATATATATTATTCTTTTATATAATTAATTAATATATAATTACAACAGAAAAATTGTTATATTAATAATTTTTTTAGAATACTTAGGATGTGTTCTTGAAGAATTGGGAGTTAAACTTACTGATACAATTAGTCAAATTATGAATTTACTCAAATTACCAAGTGAAGAATATAATTTAAAGTCATCATCAATTGCTTCCTCAAAAATAGCAGCAGTAATAGCAAAAATAAGAAACATAAAATAAATATATTATATAAAAAATTTTTGTTTATTATTAAGTTTATTTTTTTTATATAAAAATAATCTATTTTATATATTTCACAAAACATAAATACAAATTATTTAGTTACTTAATGAATAATAATTGTTTTAACTTGAGTATTCTGGAGCCCATAATTTAAATGTACGATCATAAGATGAAGAAGCTATAAATTTCGAATCAGGTGATATATCCACACCCATAATTTTATTATCATGTCCAGATAAGGTTTTTAACATTTGCCAAGTTTTATTTGCCCAAATCTGGAAATATATAAATAAAAATTAAGTAAAAATATTAAATTGTACCACTATATTTGTTACTTTAATGGTATTATCATAAGAGGAGGTAACAATGAAATGACCACCATCAGGCTGATATCTTAATCCGGAAACAAGATTCATATGTGCAGGTATAGTATAAAGACAAGCTCTTTTCCTAATATCCCAAATACGACAAGTATTATCTTCACTACCAGTAGCTAATTGGTATCTAAACATTACATAAACTAGTATCATTAAGTGTAACATAAATCTAGCTCCCAGAGGATAAAAAGTTGTACCATCAAAAACATTTAACACCAAAGTTTATTTTATTTTGTATTTTCAGCATTGTGTCTGTATTTTATTCAATAATCAGCGATCTATGATTCATTAAAGTTTAGGGGATGTGAATATTACTCACGTCAGTGAGGAGCAAGCATACTTAAGTTTTTCCCGTTGTGGTACGATAAACCGGTAATTATTATCGGTACACTAAATATTAATTTTACTGTATTTACAAGAATACTATTGCTAAATAAGATTAACATGTTGATGGACAGTTAATGATATGATTTAGCTAAAAATAAAGTGTCCACTGGTTTATGAGATGCATGGTGTCAGAACAACCTCCTCTTTCATAAGAAATCATTGAAAATATTACTGCTATATCAGTAATGACATCTTTAGAATAGTTTTTATACCACTGTTATAGCAGTAATATTTAAAAGTGACCCCAGAAGTCAAATTTTAACAATACTGTCATAACAGTAATATATGATTTTGTCCATCAACGTATTAATAAAAAAAAAACTAGGTTGCTATTTGAAAAACTAAAGTTGATGTTGATTTAAGGGATAAAGATGGAATCATTATACATCTTGACAAGTAGCTCAACAAAGATTTATAATAACAAATAAAATAATTACATTTATGATAATACTAATATTTTTAAAGAAAAATCATGAAACATAGTTAGTCAATCACCCTTTATTTGTTATATTTCTGGTCCTAAAGAAATGTGTTTAACCAATTGGCCTGCTATATAAACTAATTGCTTATCTCTGTCTTGATGTATTAATTAATACTAATATTCATTGTTTATACTACAACCAGTGCAGATTTTCAAGATAATCAAATAAATTTAAACTCTATATCTTTTAATACAAGATATTTAATAAAATAATTGAATTATGTTGTCAAAATTAGTAAAATACGAAATTAGACATAAATGAGTAAATAAATTAAAAATTCAACTTAAGATAAACCTTTTAGCTTAGCAGAGATATTTATATTTTATGTAAACTCAATTTATCTTTTTTTTTTTTATTTACTTTTAACGACTACTTAATTTTTTTTTATAGTATTTTTTGTTAAATACTTTTTAAAATAAAATACTAAATACTATAAAAAAATTATTTTTATAAAAATTAGTTCAAATATTTAATTTGTTTATTGAATAATGTTTAACATCCATTTTACGATTCCTTATTGCTTAATGTCAAAACTATTAATTTATAAACTACTTTTCAGAAACTCGCCAGTCTTGAACAAGTGATCGATCTGTGTCATTATTTAGTCATATTTTCTTATTCTTCATATTACTTTTTATTAAACTAAGAAAATAGTAAATTTAAAGCTATTAAATAAAAATTTTCAACTTTTCCCTAGTACTAAATTTTCAGAGATTATACAACACTAGCAATTGCTTGCTACAAATGATTCTTCAAATTATGCCCCAGCATTCAATTATAATAATTATAAAAAAAAAATTGATAAATTACCCATTAGGAGAAAAATCAAGACTGTAGATAGATTTTAAATGGCCTTCCATAAACATGATACATCTGCCAGTACGCAAATCCCAAACTCGACCAAATGCATCTAAACCTCTATAAATTATGGTTAATTTAATATTATTACAATATATTATAACACATATGTTTACCCTGTAGCTACTATTGAACCATCACATTGGAATGACATACAATAAACTGGTTTACAATGACCTTCCTGATGAAGCACTTCTTCTGCTTGTTCTAAATCCCATAAACGCCATGAATTATCATGACAACATGTACCCAAAAATCTTCCTGATGGGTGAAAAATTGCTCGTGATACTCTAAATGGAGCATGACCTTCAAGATCAGCAATTGGCTCTTCTTTTTTGCTAAATTTTTATTTTGTAATAAGTAATAATTATAGCTAAAGATATATTTACTAAAATCTACAAACTATTAAACCATTAATAGTTATCTCGATGAATAATTAACATATTATCTACCAACAAAATAAAAATTTAATTACTTATTATTATGATTAGTATTACAATATTATTTTTTTTTTAACTGCAGTTAAACCACAACATACAATATTTTAAATGTACAGGGTTGTTGTTGTATTCAGGATAAGCCATATTTTTCTATGTGATATTACTCTTGATATACTTTATTTTTATTGTTATATTTATTTATTTATTGATATTTGTATATAATATACCTATCCATTGACCACAATTTCACCGAACCATCACTAGCGCATGATACAAGATCGCAACCATTCTCACAAGAATTTGCATTTGGATTGAATGTAATACAACAAACATTACAATTATGACCTCTAAAAGTTTTAACTAAATTACAGTCAGGAACTGACCATAGTTTACACAAACCACTCCTGAGAAAAAGAAAATAAATAAAATCAATCTGAGAATAAATAAAATTTTTTTTAATTTACCAAGAAGATGTGGCTATAAATTGAGAATCTGGGCTGAATCTGCAGTAAGATATAGGTCTTGTATCACCAATTTGACTGCAATATATTGATAAAGAAGTAGTATATTTATGTAAATCTTGCAAACGAGCAGTTAATGTAGATTCAGGAATACTAGCTTCTTCTCTTAATTTTTCTAACCTAAAATGTGATCTCAGTAAGGAAAACTCTGAAAAAAAGTAATTAAAAATAAAATATAATAATTTTATCAAAAAATATCATGTTTATTCGGCTATATGGCACAAGCAATTATTTTTAGAGAGGAAGTTGAACATTAATAAATAATAAATAACAATTTTATTCAAATCACTAATAACATTTCAGTCAACAATGTATTACAAATTAACAAGCAATAGCAATTTCATAGAACTATTAGGGGATGGGTTCACACCAAACATTCACTTAATACATTAGTGGTCAGAATTTTAAGAATATATTGAAAAATATTTTATTTAATTTTGTTTATTGTCCACCAGCTTTTGAAAAAACTCACTACCCATCCCCCTAAAAGTTATCTATAGGATAGCTACTATGAACAAATGTAATTTAACATTCAAAATTTATGATAATTATAAATAAACTTTAGCTTTTTGATTAGGATAATATGATATAAGAGTAATGATTTACTTTAAATTTTGATATCAGTCATATTATAAAAATGTAAAATTACTTGGGTTTTAATATTTATTACATTTTAAAGTCTATGTCAATTTAAGTCAAGCTTGGAATTAAATTAAATTATAAAATTAAAAGTTGCATTTAAAAAATATGCCAGGCTTTATAATTAACAATTTAAAAGTCTTAAATCAATTTTATTTTAATTTGTATTTCATACCAGCTATAAATAATCGAGCATCTAATAATGATGGGGGTCCTTCATGGTACCATGTAGTGTCTTGATCTTTAATTTGCTGTCTTTTTTCTTTCTCTTCTTCGGGTTTTTTTAAAATAATATCTTCTCCCACTCTAAAATGATAAATAATAGTAAATAATATTATTGAAAAAAAAAAAACAGACGAATATGATTGAATAGAACGAAGTCCAGATTAACATACACTTAAATCCAAAATATGAGATGATAAACAAAATAAAAAATTAATTGGATTGAACATAAATTACATGGTGTTCTAATAAAAATAAATTTTTCCAACTTACAAAAAAATTATAATTAGTTTATTATATATACTAATTATATTACTTAAAAATATTTTCATTTATAATGTTGGATTTAGCTTGTAATTTTAATCTCAATTGTATTTTACTAGCCTTCTTGACACAGCTAAGGGATGGGGAGCTTAAAAAATTGTAACCCCGCAAGAATATTAATAATGTTTGAATTTTTTAGTAGATAACCTTTTTTTTTTGCTTCAATTATTCTTAAATAGAGATGTAGAGTAAAAAAAAAACCCATCACAGTGGAGTAGTGGCACAGTGAGGACTTTCAAAAATTAAGTTGAAAAAGTTGTCATTTTAAATCCCCCCTTTGTTCAGGTAAGAGGACAGAATTTAAAAAAAAAAATACAAAATTATAAGTAAGTGCCACACGTATCTATATAAAGATAAATTATATTGATTTGGTCATTTTTAAAAAAGTTATAAGTAAAAAAAAAGTGAAAAAATGTCGCAAATTAGCTATTTTGAAATTTTAAATTTTTTTTGAGATTTCCCCTATTACTACAGGGAACAAGGGAAATTTTTAAAATTTTTGAGTGTAATGTTTTCGACTAGATACAATTGGTGAATTTTTGACATATCGTTGAAAGAAATCGGGGTTTGGTAAGAGCTGAGAAAAAGTGGTAAAAGACACAAAAAAAAAAACACATTATAGTAAAACTAATACCTTCTCAGCTTCGCATCGAAGCTAAAATGTTTCATAAGAAAAAAAGAAATTCCCCGAAATTATTTTTTGATTAAACCACTGTGCTTATGCACTTCAATTAGGAGGTTTTTTTATTTATTATTAAATAAAATGTACACTATAATTCATAAATGATGCTTATTTTTCAAATGTAGAAAGTAGATAAAATACTAAAAAAAAAATGTTTTCTTTTACTTTTGAAGGTAATATTTTCAGCTACAACTTTAATGTATTGTTAAGAAAAATCTGTAAAATCTGATAAATAATAGCAACAGAATTCATACTTTTTTAGCTTTATACCAAAGATAAATAATACACTTATTAATAAAATAAGATACTTTTTCTTAGTTAATTAAGCAATATAGATTTTTGTAAAATATTACCTGGATAATAATTCACGTAATCTGTTTCTTCTTTCAGCTGGACCTTCACTAAATAAGCAAATAGGTTGATCCAATTTTCTTAGACTTTTTTTAACATCATCATCGTCTGTAGATACTTGCACTTGCCTAGCTTTTTTCTTTCTTTCAAACTCTTCTAACAAAGCTTGTTTATCTTTGGACATAGCATCTTCCAAATCAAAGTACTCTATAAAAATAATTGATGAATTTTTAATGTAATTGAGTTAAAATATAATTTAAGTTAAATTTACCATTTGAAATGTTGATATTTCCACTTGATTTTGGTTCCTCGTCATTTTCAGATGTGCTTAATGCTGCTAAACGAACCCGTTCTTGATCTTCTAGAGATCCATAATGAATGGTTTTAGGTTTCTTAACATAAGTAATTTCTTCATCATCAGACATTTTTCTAGAAAAAATACAAATATAAATACTTATAATAGAATAAAATAATAAATAATTTGAATAATAATACAAAAATAAACTTTATATTTTTAATTTATATTTTTAAATTATATTAAAAATATTAAACTCATTAAGCCATAAAAAAGTTACTTTTACTAATACACATACTTATGTGTATTAGTATGTGTTTAGCATCAATAATGGTAACATTGTTCCTGAAATACATATCCGCGAATTTTTGAGTGGCTTTTTGAGTTAAAACTTTTTTATAGTTTTTAATTTTAAATTAATGTTTTAACTATAATTTTAATTTTAAATAATTAGCCACAAGTGATCAATTTTTATTATATAATAGCAAATTTTTGACAAAAATTGTAGCTTATACCTACAATAATGTTTTTTAGTTAAAACTAATTAAAAAAAATACAGATGAACTTATTTTTATGTAATTAACATCAAAACAATACTGTNTATCAAATGATTTGAAAATTCTATTTTAACTCAAAAAAAAAATGCAAAATTTTAGAAGCCACAAACGGATTTGAACCTCGTTCCGTAGGCGTTATAGATCAAGGTGTTACCCATTCGGCAACTATTCGTTGACTTTTGTTGCATGATAAAATTGGTTATTTAAGCTAACTCAAATTTAAAAATTACTTTTTCGACTTTAAATAAATAAAAAAATTTTAATAAGTATAATTNTATTACTGATTTCATCTTAATTTTACTATAATATAATATAGTTAAAATGACAAAATTAAATTTTTATACTATATAAATTTCATAATAAAAATTGATCACTTGTGGCTAATTAATTAAGTAAAATTAAAACTATATTAAAAATATTATTAATTTAAAAAAACTAAAAAATATTAAACTCAAAGTCACAAAAAATTAATGAAAAGTCGCGTATACGTATTTCGGAAACAATGTTACCATTATCAACGCTAAACACATACTATTTTTAATATAGTTTTAATTTTATTTATATAAATTTCAATTTAATATTTATTAAAATCTAATCGAAGTATTTGTCTAAAAGCTACTTCAACACCAAATTACACTCAATTTAATCTACGAAAACTTCTATCCAGGTAATACCAGATACTAAGACTTATAATAAATGTATAACTATAATTTTTCAACTTTACTAGAAAAACATATGTATAAAAAAACATATGAAAAAAAAAATATTAACCTTTATAGAAAATTCTAATAAGTTAATAAGGAATTTGTAGGAATAAATATTATCTAAAAGATGAAGAAAACATGGAATTGTAAATAATGAAGAACACTAAAACAACTAAGTTATTGAAAATTAAATTTCTTTTACAATTTATATCTAGTTTACTTCTAAGGCGCTTTATATTTTTGCTAGAGAGGATGGGCAACCATAAAAAGTTTAGTGGAACAGGATCAAACCTCAAAACTTGCAAAACATAGGCATAATACATTTTGCCCTAAAGTAATGCCTTATGACAGTTCCAATGAGGTCCACATTAAGTCAATTGAAGAAAAAAAAAGGCATGATACATTTACAACCAAACTATACAAACTACGTTAAATAAGCGAGTAGTGTAGAAGAAATTGTTAAATTTGTATTTATTTTATTAAATACAACTTGTTAATTAAATATAAAAATATTAGTTGGATAATATATACCTGAATTATAAAATTAATAAATTTCAAATGAAACTTCTTTATAGTTGATACAATACATGTAAAATTAATTACCTTTGATAATAAAAGTAATTTTCAAATGTCACTTTGAAACTTTGTAGCTTTAAGCTATTGAATTTCAATTTAAAAAATTATAAATTGAAATATTATTAACTAGTCGTAAATGTAACACTCTAATCACGGCCTTAGTAGATAAGGTCGGCGAATTTTGTTCTTATCAGAGTTCCGATTATTAAGTCAAAAACGTTCTAGAAATTATTCGAAGTACTGTTTTTAGGAGAATTTGAGGTTATAACCTAAAATTCCTCTAAAAACAGCTCTTTTGCAGCCAACATTTGAAACGTGTACGACACAATAAAAATATCGAATCACAGAGGGGACGGTAAAGTACGCCGACCTTATTTTATGAGGCCATGACCATAGATCTTAAAAACATGGATAGGACATTTATGCTTTATCAGTGAAGACTATGGCGATAGTAAATTGAAGCTATTTGTTTGTATTATTATATGATGAGATTTTTTTTTTATTATTTAATGGTTAGTAATAAATAATTAGTATGAGTAATGAAATTTATAATAATAATGTAAGTTATAAATTATAATTTATAACTTATTACAAAATTAAAAAATAGTATCTTATGCGCTTATCACAATTAAAATGTAAGCAAACTGCCTCATTTCATATCAGTTCAGGACCGCGAAAACACGAGGGCCTCAATTATGAATGTCCTATTCATGTTTACAAGATCTATGGCCATGATTCTAATTATGAAATGTTATAATGGTATTTGTTATCACAATAACAACAATATTAATATTTTTGATAAAATTCTTTTCATTTGAAATCTAAAAAAATCAGTAATGTAGAAATTATTTAAAATAATAAAATATCAAAAAAAATACTTCATAAAATATTTTTAATTTATGGAAGATGGTAAAGAATTATCGTGTTGTGGTTTTGGGGGTAAAAGGAGTTGGTAAAACGTCTATATTAGAACAAGCAATTTACGGACATTTTAGTAAAAACTATGTAAACTCTAGAAATTATTATCCTTATAAAATAAGTTTTTAAAAAAAATATTTATGTTAATTCAGAAATTATGGCCTACTATTGAGGATATCTATCAAGCATATATTGAAACAGATAAAGGTGTTCGGGAGCAAGTAAGATTTTATGACACAGCTGGATTAGATATTACTCAACTACCAGAAGTAGGATTATACTCAAATCCCGATCCTTCTCTTGTATTAACTTTTGGACAAATAGCTAAGCAATATGCAACTATTGCAGATGCATTTATTCTAGTATATGATACAAACAGACCAGAAACCTTTGACTGTTTAGTGACATTAAAAAAGGAAATTGAAAAAAATAAAGAGAAAAAAGACGTAATTAAAAACAATAATGATATATAATTTTAATTGAATGTCATTTTGATAATTTCTTACATTTCACAGGCTTTTTTCGTTATCATTGGTCATAAGATGAGTGAAATTGATATTAAAGCTCCAACATTGGAATGTCCTACAAGTCGAGCTTCACATTGGTCAATAAGAGAAAAAATGAAACATTTTGAAGTAAATGCTTTAGATCGAACTTCCTTGTTTGAACCTTTCACATATATAGCTACTAAATTTAATGCCACTCAACCAAAAAGTAGTTTTCCACAATTAGGTAGAAAAGGTACTCAGCATTGATATGAATTCAAGTTCAAACTAAATAAAATTATTAATATTTAATTATGTAAAAATAAATTAAATTTCAGTAATTTTGGTATTTATAACTTAAACAATTTTTAACTTATTTTTATTTAATATGATATAAGACAACTTTTCACAATTCTTACTATTTTTACAGTAAATGAAAGAAAAATTAAAATTTTTGTCAGTTAAAAAGTATTTTCAGAAAAAAATATAATTGAAATTCTCAACATATTAAAAAAGGTTGTATCATAAAAGTATGTATTATATTCAATATATTGAGGACAGAAATACACAATACATTTTTAATACAAACAATACTGTAGTAATAACATGAAAAAATTAAATTATGTATATTACATTGCTAAAATATTACCAACATTATTTATTTTATTTAAATCTTAGTTGTAACTACTAAACCTCGGTCATCAAAAAATGCTGTCTTTTGTTTAACTTGCTTTCCATTCTGAGTAAAAAATGATGTTATTGGAACAGTACTTTTATTATCTTCTTCTTCATCATCAGACCTAAAATAGAATGAATACATATTCAGGCAGAATAATCATATAGAAAATGAATTTCCAGTCAATCTTATAATTAGGTAATTTTAAAAATCCAACACGACCTTTAATTCTTTTGAAACATTATATATGTACTTATATGTATAGTAAATTTTATCTTAACTATGATGAGAATTTAATGAAGGGGAAAGCGTCAAGATTTCTATGAATATATTTACATACCAATCAACTTGTACCGCGTGATCTTTCAAAATTGTTTCTGCAGTAGACCAACAAAATCTTACTATATTTGGAAATCCAAAAACTGGATCTATATTTTTTGTTAAGTACTCCTTAGTAATAGGGTCTGAAAAAATTTTTCTTAATAGTATTTCATTCCAATAATGACACTAATAATTTTTAAGTTAAAAAAATAATTAAATTATTTAAATAAAATGTATGCTTAATACATTGATTGAGGGAATATCAGATTACATTATATTACTACAAATTTCATGAACTAGTAAAGTTGAACAAATATACTATACCAGCAGGATAGCCACTACCCCAATTTGAATCAATGATTTCTCCAGGTTTTTCAACAAATTTCCAATTTTTTAAAGCAGCATCACGTGTTACTTTAGCACAAATACTAGCAGCACTCACAATAGGAAATAAAGAATCAGCTTTTTTAGATACTTTTATTTTTAACTGTGGAAATATTGCCGAAAGTTTAGCCTAAAATCAGAATACTTTTAAAACATCAGTTATATCGCGAATATTGCATTAATAAATAAAGTTTAATTGTATTGATTAAAATTTATTATTCTTTTAATAAAATGTGCTTTAAGGTAGTATAACAAAAAAAAAATTGTATAGAAAACATTTAAAGCTATAAAAATACTAAACAGATTGAAGAGCAATTTAAATATATAAAAACAAAAATATTTGTGATAATACATTTAAATTAATAAAAAATATTATGCTTCCTAATATAATATAACTAATACATTTTTGATTCTTGAATATTTAATATATTATTATAAGCTATGGAATAAATCAATTTAATCGTAAAAATAAGGTCTTAATCACATTTACACTCATATATAAGTTTTCAGGATTATATCTCAATAATAGTTAATAGGACCACACAATTATTTTCTTATTAAAATTAAAATAATTATAAATTGTATTAATTATTAATAAGACAATTTAAATTTAATGTTAAAAGTTGTATCTATGTACAATAGTTATGATTTATTTTAACACACCCATAGTCCAAAGAATCTAGACTCCACTAAACAATATACCTATATTAATATTCAATGTGTATATAATACCACTTATATTATAATATAATTAAATAAAAAATAAATAGATGACACATACTTCATATTTTTCAGCGGGTCCGACAGTATCAACATATACCTCACTTAGATTTACACCTCTGTCTAGAACTCTTTGAATTAGACCAATAGCAGCATTATGAGAAACCTCATTTAATGAACATTTTTGTCTGAAAAATTAATTTTAAAAATAATTTTAGTTCAGTAATAGTAAATTATAAGCCAATTTAAATTTTTTCCAAGGGTGGACTTGAAATATTCACATCAATAGACCTGTGAGACTCCACCCTACATACTGGTTCCAAAATATGTATACTTATATTTATCAATCTTTCTAATATTATACATCCTTTTTATTAGTATAACAAATAATAAATAATATTAATGACTTAGCAGCAGAAGCTCTAGATCGAGTTAAAATAATAATAATAATAAAATACTAGATAATACTATAAAATATGTTTATTATTATGTTATAATTTTTAAAATGATAAATGCAATAATTATTGAAATGGCATTACAAACTTTAGGTATGTTAATCATTTTTAGGGAACCCTTCTAAGCATACTCAGCGAGGGCTTATGCAGATAATTAAAATTAATTTACTTAATAATACAATAATATACATTTATACATATTGAAGCATACTATTTGTCAAGGAGTCACTTTTTTCAATGGCATGACACAACAAAGATAATATAATAGAAATTTTTAATTGGAATTAATTGCTTATTGATTTTTCATTAAAATAATATCATTTAATCTTAATGAAATGTTTAAAAATTGACATTGTAATGCCCTAACTATTAACTAAAACAGATGTACCACTATGCAGTTTACACATTAATTTAATTGTACTAGGGAAGTCATCTTGTCTTTAATATTTAATATTTTATTAAATATTTATTTATTTAATAAAAGTTATATTTTTTAACTTTTTTGTAATGGCCTACCTTCTAAAATTACAATTACTAATTGTATTTGGTGATATTATATGAACAGCCCAACCAAGTAAATTATTTTGTTTAGTTATGCCATCAAAAATATCATCCCGTGCCTGTTCAGTTAATACTTTTGAATCGGCACATCCTAAAGCTTTTAAAATTTCTTGATTGTCCGCACAACAAAAGGATGTACCATAAACCATAGGACCTGTAAAATATACTTTTTCAAATGAGAAAAAAAAATTTATTTTTATTAATAAAAATGAAAGGATTGCAGGAACAACCAGATAAATCCATTTTTTTTTCAAAAATCATTCTAATGAAAATTTATAAAGAAAATTATTCTTGACAATTAGACACAACAACCCGATTAATGCAATCAAAACTTAGAGTTATTACAGAAAGAAATTTATCTTGTGTTGTTATTTGTTGCAATAAACAAATAAGTAAACAGATTTATCTTGTTGTTGTAGCGATGTGGAAAAGAAATCCTATGATAATTATATATTAATAATTATTTTTTTATCTGAAAATGTGTTCAAGCTATTTATAGGTGTTACTTACTACTTAAAACTGTTTTTAATTATTTTGTTTAAAATGCTATAGTAAAATATACAAAAATGGTAACAGTTCCTTTATGATATGTAATCAAAATTTTGTGATTTAAATAATACTTTAATACTACTATTTAAAATATAATATATTTGTTTTATTCCTTAATACAAAGCTATTACTTTGTAAAACCTATTGAAAAAGGAAAAGATATCTTATAATAAAATCATAACCGTATATCAATAACACAGCTCCACAAAAAAAATCTAATGAAAAGTGCTAGTAAACAGACCATGTTTACTTTATGTTTGCAGGGTTGCTGAATACGAATCTGAGGTTTGTTTGACGCCATAAAGTCATAATTTTTCATAACCTCAAAAAATGTGCTTAAGAACCAAGTTATTCATTAGGAAGTAAGACAGTAAAATTTGTAACCTAAATCTACTGTGTGCAAAGCCTTAACCTGTAAAAAAGCCTAACCATACTTGTACTAGCCTGACCTAACTTGACTTAATCAAACGTAACCAAAAAAAAAACGAAAGAAAAGTGCGAATAAACAGACCATGTTTACTTTATGTTTGAGGGGTCACTAAATCCGAATCTGAGTTTAGTTTGACGCTGCCACATCAGGGTTCTTTATAACCTTGAAAAATGTGCTAAAGAACCAATTAATTATTCAACTATATCAACAGGGCAATTTCTATACTAATACCACTGCCCTCACCTAGTATAGTATTAGCACTGAAGTATTGTGTGGTCAAATTACTATATTTTGCCAAAAGTACTCTCAGCATCAGGTCAGTTTAAATGATATTAGGCTTTTTACAGATTAAGGCTCTGTGCACAGTAGATTTAGGTTACAAATTTACCTGTCTCACTTCCAAATGAATAACTTGGTTCTTAAGCACATTTTTTGAGGATATGAAAAACCATGACGAGATGGCTTTTGGAATCTCTCTCTTTGCTAGAAATGCGAAGCATTTCTAGTTGAACTGCTATAAAAGTAAAATAAGGTCCTATATTCTTAATTATTTCTAGATACTAACTTGTCTATGGTAGATATTATTATACAAACCAATTTTATTTGTTCATTAGATAATCAAATATTTTTTCCATTAATTTAATGAAAAACCTTTTATATTTTACAAAACTGTTATGACACAGGTATCCTGCTATTATTCCTTAATAAATAAATATATATATATTTTCATTATCCTGAATGATTTCAAAAAGTAAAATCTGGTTGTTGCCATAATTCCTTCAAATACTATCACAGATTTAAATACAGAGTTAAGGCATCAGACTATCTTGCTCAGTAATTTAAGATAACATTTATGTGATTCAGTAATATTAATATACATTTAATATATATAATCATAGAGAATAATGTTGTTATATAATTTTTAAATACCCCAAAATGTAATAAACGGATACATATTAATGGAATAGACATGTCTTATTCATGTATTTATTAGATGAGTATTACAACTTATTAAACAAACAAAAATAATAAGTAATAATGATATACAAATAAAAATAAAACATGAGCACATAATTAAGGAAATTGTTAAATAACAGAACTTAAGAATCAAATTTAATTATAATAAAATTAGTATACCTAAAACAGGTCCACGTCCTGCTTCATCAATTCCTAAAATACATCTTTCTATTTTCGTCGTTTCTGGTAATACAGACTCTATAAAAATATCAAATGAATTATTTTCTAAAGAAATAACAGATTTAATGTCTGAAATTGAACTGCAAGTCTTATATTTAAAAATCATTTCTGAGAATAAATTTACTATCGTTTAAAATAAAATAATTAAAATACACTAAATTTAAAAATACATCATAGTTATGTGTTAATAAAATTGTATGTTTAAATCAAAAATATAATCGTGACAATTGAATTGAAGTGAAATTATTTGTACTAGGTAACATTTACACAGACAAAAAAATTCCTCGAAGTTTAAAAGTGTTATCTTCATTCAAAAAATTGTTATGGTTATCACTTTAATTTTGGCGGGAGTGATTGTCTAAAATACTTAGATAAAATAAATGCCGCGTACAAAACTAGACAATAATAAATATGGAAATTTGTGTGTATTATCTATAATTAAGTGTATACACTAGTGATGGGCATTTTTGAATATTTTAAACTATTGAATAACTATTCGAATTGTTTTTATACAACCGAATAGTGTTTTTTTAGCATAAACTATCGAATAGTATTAAAAAATATTCGATTAGTTCTATCTAAAATTTTTATTAAGTACACTTAATTATAATAAGAAGATAATTAACGAATACTTAAAATAAATTATTATACTATTATAGTAAAAAGTACCATTTTATTTATTTTTAGTTTGTGATTCGTTGGTAAAAACTGATAAATATGGGTCGAAAATTAAAAAGCAGTTCTTTTTTTCGATGACTAATGATATATTTTCAGTTTTATCGGAAGTTTGTTCTATGCACAACAGAAGTATTCGTAAATACTAAAGTCTTATTTTACACTTAATACCTTAATACTGTTCTTAGTCTAGAATTACCTGCTCTTTTGTCTTATAAAGGCATAACACCGATAAAGAGGACAGCGCGTTTTAAATTTTTACTTTTGTAAAAGTGGCGGCAACAATAAATACTGCCCCTCTTTAAAAATTATATTAACTATTTTTATTAGTCGGTTAATCATTGAACATTTTAACAGTGTTGTTGTACCAAACAGTTTAGTGTAAAATTTATTTTCTCTATAAAATGCACAAAAAAAATAGATCGAACGTATGGAATTTTTTAAATAAGGATACCAACTTTCCTAATCAAGTTATATGTAAATTTAAAATAAAATATGCTAATAATACATCAAATGTTTGGGATCATTTACGCCGAAAACATACTACGGCGTTGGAAGCAAATAGATTATCGTCTCAAAATGAAGAACGGTATGAAATCAATGTTTCTAACGACAGTCATCGCCCTCAACAAGTAAAATAAAATAACATTTTTAATAATCACTAATTAATCTAATAATCATTTAATATCATACTAAGGCAACGCGTTTATTATTGACTGTTTCCGTATCTTTTCTAAACGNATAAAAAAACACATCATAGTAAAATTAATACCTTCTCAGCTTCGCATCGAAGCTAAAAAAAATAAAAAAAAAAACACATCATAGTAAAATTAATACCTTCTCAGCTTCGCATCGAAGCTAAAATTATAAGTATTTATTTATTAAATGTGTTCTTAAGGTTCTTTAACTACGAATTTAAATATACGTGAACAAATAACTAAACAAACCCAAGGAACTCAACAAAGAAGACCAAAACAATTAATACTAACAAATAGGTAATAGTGTTATTTATACAAGTTAATATGTAAAATTATTTTTAAATAAAAGATAAAAAAATGATATTGATTTATAGGTTCAGCTTACCATCAGAAAGCAAAGTTGATGAATTTAATAAAACTGTTGTCGAAATGATTGCAGAAGACATGCAACCGTTATCGACTGTAGAAAATAGTGGATTTAAAAAACTAATTAATCTTCTCGATTCGCGATACAAGTGCCAAGCAGGAAAATTATAGCAACAACACTCATACCTAATCTTTATAACTCTACACGTGAAATGGTTCAACCTATGTTACTATCTACAAAATATGTCGCANAATCTTTATAACTCTACACGTGAAATGGTTCAACCTATGTTATTATCTACAAAATATGTCGCACTTACTTCAGATATTTGGACTTCTATAAATACTATTTCTTTTATTACAGTGACTGCACATTTTTTCGATGTGAACTTTAACTTAAAAACGTATGTTTTAGCTACAAAAAACTTGGAATCTAGTCATACAGCACAATATTTGTCCGAAATTTTAGCAGATATCATAAGTGATTGGGCTATCGAAGTAAAAGTCATTGCGATTGTAACAGACTCTGTTGCGAATATAAAAACTGCAATTAGATTACTTGGGATTGATCATATTCCGTGCGCTGTTCATAAATTATACAATGCCGTAAAAAATGCTTTTAAAAGCGAAGATACTGATGATTTTAATAATGACACTACTACAGCTTCTCGTTCTGATGAAATAGAAGTTAAGAAACTAATAAAAATGTGTCGATCTATTGTTGGACATTTCAAACATAGCGAAGTATCGAGTAGACTTCTTCGCGATAAACAAGAACAACTTAATTGTCTTATTTTAAAAGTTAAACAAGATATCGCAACTTATTATGTTTGAACGTCTTTTAACGATTAAAGAACCCTTAATGCTAGTTTCCATGTCTTTACCACGTTGTCCTAATATGCCAACAAATGAACAGTGGAAAGTTATTAATGATTTTGTTACACTTCTGAAACCATATGAAAGTTTGACTGTACAACTATCATCAGAAAAACGACCAGCTTTAGGAAAAGTTATACCACTTATAAGAGGTATGTATAAAGTTTTTATATAATGCATAAAAATTTAATAATATTAATATTATTATCAAATACTTCATGATATCTTTTAATTTTTGTCTTAAAGGTTTACTATTAACAGTTGGAAATAAAAATCCAGCAACATCCCCGGGAAACTATTTGAAAAAATTTTTTTTAGAAACAACTGTCTCTACGCTTCGTTCTCAAACTACCTTCTCAATCACAGCAAAAGCATCATGTAGACAATATTTTGATGTAGAATTTTTAAACATAAAGGATAATCCAATATTATTTTGGAAAAATAACAATCTAATGTTTGGGGCACTGTCCGAAATTTCATTGAAATACTCATACATTCCGGCTACATACGTACCATTAGAAAGAATATTTCCTAAGGTGGGTCAAATAGTTAGCATCAGACGTAATAGATTATTACCTGAAAACGTAGATAAACTAATTTTTTTAAATTCAAATTTAGAAAAATAATTATTATTTTATACTTAAAATAATCATATCTTTTTTTTAAAAATATTTTTTTATATTTATTATTTATTTTGTTACAGTATTTTAAAAAAGAATTATTTATTTTATACTGTTTTGATATTTTATTTGCATTTTGTTAATCGATCAATAATGTTAATTAAAAAATTATTTTTTTTGTGTTTCTTATTTTATTATGAATGTTAATTTTAATAAAACAATTTTGTGATAATTTCACGAAAATTTTAATATTAAACACTCAATTGCCTTGCTTACATAACATTACTACATCTTTAATTAAAATATTCAATAATAAAATTTCTTATAAATAGTAAAAAAACGTTGATGATATTATGTTGTAATATAGAACATTAGATTATGATGATATAAGCTATAATGATATTATGAAAAATATAAATATATACAGAGTGATCCATGAACCACTTGATTACTCGTAAAATAACAATAATTTTGAAGAAAAAAATTTTAAATAGTGTTAGTTACACATTACATACATCAGACTAATCGATAACAACTTTTGGACTAGTATTTCAGAAGTTATAGAATTTAAAAAAATGAACTGGGGTGAGTCGCAGATATATATTAGGGTGGTCCTTATTTTATTAACTTTTATTGATCGATCTCCATACCCGCCAATTTTGTTTTTTATTATATGAAAGGTATTTGTGTAAAATTTGGTTTTGATAACTTTCCCCCTTCAGGTACGAATCGGGGTTGAAAATTCTCTCAAAAAGGTAATTTTTCAGTTTTTGATTATTATTATTAAAATTAACACACTTAGCGTAACAATGTATAGAATATAAATTATAGATTTTAATATTTTCTTCTAAAATGGTATTCACAAAAATTTTCAAAAATTATTTTTACTTGCTCAAAAAAATAAAATAAATAAATAATTTGCTAAAATTCATTTTTTGAATATAAATCATTCTTAATTTTCGAAATAATTATTTTACAACAAAATGTTACGTAAAAATAATATGTCAAGTTATATTTTTTAAAACATTGGTCTTATGTAAAATTATAGTCAGATTTATAGTTTTGCTGTTTTAATAACACTAAATAGGATTGTTTAAAACTGTTTATTTAGGGTACTACGGTTATAAATAGGATACAATTAATAATAAAAAAAATTAGTGATGGACATATTCAAATATTTTAAACTTTCGATTAACTATTCGAATTGTGTTTATACCACCGAATATTTTATTTTTATCATAAACTATCAAATATTTTAAAAACTATTCAAATATATGTGTAACTATCGAATATTTTTACTATTCGAAAAGTTGTTGAATGACTATCGAATAATTTGATAGTTACTATTCGATATTTCCCATCACTAGTATACACCATAAGTTCAGGCTTGTTAAAAATACTATTTTACAAAAAAAAAAGATTTTCTACAAGAAAAATAACAATTCATTAAAAAATTGTTTGAACTAATTAGTTATGAAATGTAAATCTTTAATCATTTTTACACATAATAAAATAATATTAATCTTTAAAATTAGAAAATATTACATTTTATCAAAAAAAAAAGTCATATATGGAATAGATATTCCATTCAACATTTGAAATTATTTATTTTTTATAACAATATTTAATTGCATTTTAAAAATATGACTTAAAATTTTTATCACTCATTTTTTTTTAGAGAAAAAATTAGTCTCGTTAAAATGGTATTGCTTTGTCTGAATACCAATTCAACTGGGACTGTCCTAATGGAACACTACCAGGTAATGATGTAATGTGCAGTATAAAAACCGTTTTAACATTTGGATACTCATCCAACATTATGATTTTAGCTTCGATGCGAAACTGAGAAGGGATTAATTTTACTATGACGTGTTTTTTTTGTTTGTGTCCGTTAACACTATTCTCAGCTCTCGCCTATCTTTCAGAAAGATTTCTTTCAATTATACGTCAAAAGATCACAAATCGTATCCAGTCGAAGACATTACACTCAAAAATTGAAAAAGAATTACCTTGTTCCCCGTAAATGGGGGAAATCACTAAAAAAAATTACAAATTTAAAGATCGGTAATTTTCAACATTTTTTCATTTTTTTTCCTTAAAACTGCCATAACTATTTGAAAAATAGATGAATAGAAACAAATTGATAACTTTTTTAACTTAACTCTTGAAAGTATTCCGGAAATACTGACACTTTTATATATATCTTAAATTAAAGCTTATGTAATATACTTTAATATAGAAAAAAATAATTTCAAACTTTATTTTGTCTTCATAGTAAAAATGGCTGCCGTATTCAAAAATATGATATCTTTGTGTTATAGTTTTCAGTTTTTTTAATAATTAATAATAACATCAAAACTTAGAAGTGATAGAAAAAGTCTTATTTCAGATTTGAAAATAGTGCGAAAAGTTTATTTAGAAAAGTATATTTTTAATTCTGATGAAAGTTCCTTGTAGACCAATGTATTTATTCATAAGTAAAAAAAAAAATTTTATAAAGTATTGCATCAAGCCCTTTAACATTAAAAAATATAAACATTTTTTATTATTACTTTAAATATCATAAAATATTATGTATATTTTTTGACAAAGATTATAATTTTCATTATTTTAGAAACCAAAGTAGTTAAACCAGTACAGAAAATACATTCTACACTAAAAAGTGTTTAATATTCTAAATACAAATATGTTTCAAAAATATTTAAAATGTATTAAAAGTACATTTACCTAAAAGTATTCAAAGTCTTTTGAATACGAAAAAAACATTTGATTGATAATTTTCGAACATTACAATAAGTTTAATGAAACCTTTTTAATTTGTGTAAAAATATGATTTCTAAAAACTATTTAGTAACTTTTAGGTAATAAATGGTAGTCCAATAAGTGATACAAATATAGTAACCGATGACTTAGACCCCTGGGACCTGTTTGCAGTCTCTGATAATTGCCGTCCCGCGGTGTTTGAGCGATCTCTCTCTGCCTTCCGCCTTTGAATGGCCGCCGCTGCGACTCACACGGTCGGCGCCCATGCCGTACCATATTTTTTTTATTATAATTACATTAATGCTTCATATTATATTTATTATTATTATAAAAATATATCTCATTAAATTTTAAAAGTATAATTTGGTGCTCAACCCGCAAAATTCGTTGAAAGAACGAATATTTGATACCGCTGAAGTAAAATTATATAGTTTTGAAGAATTTTATGTCGGCTAGAAATTAAAATTTTTATAAAAAAATATTTTATAAAAAATAAATAAATAATTTTAGAAGACAGCTCAATAGTTATTTTAATTTTTGCTACACATTTTATACCAGCTTAAAAAGTTGATAAATAGGAAAACGTCTAAATAAAAATGTGAGCCATATATTTACAAGAATAAATTAAAATTTGTACAATTTAATACAAAATGACTATAATGATTATATCCGCCGTGGAATTGTTCCACAAGGTCTTCTTGGTAGAGTTCGTGCTGCACGACTAGCCGCTATAGTACGTTTACTGCTAACTCTCCGGTGTCCTTTTTCGACTGCTTCAAGTAGTTCGAGTTTTTCAATTTTTTTCCTAGTCTTAGCGGATGGGCTGGTTATTAAATGGTTAGCAAAAAACAACGATAAAACAGATATCAAAGTACCACAAAAAACAATTCCGATAATTTGGATCATGGTAAAACCTATATTACAATTACAAATTATAACTTTATTATATATTTTTTATTATATTGTTTTCATTCAAACGACAATTGAAGTCCTCAGTGCAACAACCAAGGAAGTCTAATTTTTTCAGAGAATAATTTTTTGTTAGTTTTGAATAAATATGATTTTTCTGCGTAATTCAATACAAAACAAATGGTTAACGATTTGTGAAGACATTAAATCTAAAAAAATCTTATACCATTACTTTTAATAAGAAACGTTTCATTAAATTTTCGGTGCAAGAATTATGGTTGTTGCACCAATCTTACTTTTTCTCAGGAACGAGATCTCGTTGGTTTAAGCAGTTAAGCTGCGACTTACCCTCGGGTTTTCTGAGCACTACAGTGATACTAACTTCTTCGGAACCAAACGAGTCTAATATTTTAACAGCACACGTCCAATTCCCATAGTCGGATTCTATGACCTCGTTGATTGTAAGACCACAGTGGCCAGCGGTTAAACCTTGACCAGAATAGGTATACCGGAGTTGTTTGGAAGATCCTTTTGCCGATCGCTCGTCCATTGCAAATCCTATGAGTCGTGGAGTTAAAAATCGACAATACGCGATCGGCTGTCGTTCAACTGAATAACAACCTAAGGTTACATCGGTCCCTTCTGCCACGTACAATTCTTGCTGATAAGCTGTGATGATTGATTCTATAATAAATATGATTTTTTACAGGTTCATAATATTAATTTTACATAACATTTATTACCAGTAACTGTAACGTTGACCCAACTATATATTTCTTTTCGATCTCCTCGTAATCCTAAGGCACACAACCAGGATCCGGTGTCAAATACAGACGTTTCGCTAACCGAGACATAACATTGGCCAAATGAAAGGCCCTCGCCTACATAACGGTATCGACTAAGATCGTGGTCGTTAGGCGGAACTGTTACTGAAATGGCAGTGCCGTTCGGATGACGCAACCAACAATAATCTAGTTCTGCCGGAACAGAACATTCAACATTGAATGCATTACCTCTGGGTACCGTCAACGGCTCTTTAGTGATTACAGTGTCAATAGAAAACTCTTTATTATCTGAAAACATAGATACCTATATAACCCTGTAGTAATAATAATTATCTACTTTTAATAGATCATTTAACAATCAAGGACTTTGTTAGACATACATAATGGTAAATTTAGTTAATGATTTAAGTCTCAACAAAGTTATGAACACTGTTAACTATTTATTTTTTTTGTTTAGTATTTTAAAAATTTTTCAAAATATTTTGTGGTATTCTTTTCATGGCGAGCGATGATTAAAAATGGTTTTTAACTTGAGGAATCAATTTTATATCAAACATTTAAATCTAGATTTAATGGAGTCGTGTTAATTATTATTACGGTTCGAACAGTGACGAATTAAGACCTATATGAGACTCGGGGCGATACTTTGAGATGAGCCCCGTAGAAAAATTTTCTACCATAAAAAAAGTGATATGCAAAAAAAACCAGAAAAACTGTTACTAATCATTGACAAGGCTAGTAAAGTTCTAAATGGGCCTCAAAATGTGCACTACTCCACGAACCTGAGCTCAAATAATAAAAAGGTTTGCATGATCATTTATCCTTCCTTTAATCATACTACTAAAATAATATCTTTAGTTTAAAAGGTTTTATTGATCAACACCGCATCACTTACCAAAAGTCCTGTCTGTTGCCACATTTACAAATCCACCGTACATTCGGTGGTTAGTCATTACGTTCATACATTTCCAGCGACCGATTTCCGTAGGCTTTATAGGTTTTGGAAATGAGACGCCACAGTCGCCATCATTAATGCCATAATAAGCATATCTAGAAGTACCTCGGCCATACGCCAACGACAAAGTTTCCAAATCATTAGGTAGTGACAACTTGCAGTACAGCGATTGAATGGTAGTACTATTGTTGCTGTTGCGAACGTTGCAGAACACTCGGACTTCGGAGGCTGTATCGTTCCAGCCGACATCCACGACTGCTCCTTCTAGACAGATGACACGATGGCTGGGTGTAGTTGTAAACAGTATTAAATGACCGCAGCGGATGGCTTGCGCAATGTATGAAAGCAACAACAGTTTCCAATAAATTATTAATAACGTTATTTTCACCTTGGTATACGTGCAACTGCACGAAATATTGTACTTCGGCCGCTGATTCTGCAGTGACAGCCCAACAAGTCCATGTGTTCACGTGATGCGACCCAACAGATTTCACTCGTTCTGAGCACTGGCCTGAGTGACGGCTTACTTGGCCAGTTGGACTGAACATACGGCAATGCAAAGCAGACTGAGGCCCGCAAGTTATATTTTGCGTTGTACCGATGGGTACTTTTATAAAAATTGACCTGGGCCATGTTTTTACTGCAATTAGATACATAAATAATTTAACATATTGAGCTTAATAATACAAATTTGTAATATAAGTATAAATATCAATAACATCAATTGTCGTTATTACAATAAACATTTAGAATTATTATTTTTTTTAATTTCTATATTAAATAAATGTGTCTTTATCAATTATACTAAAAAAACAGTTTTCATAATTATTAACATTTCATGTTAATTTATAAAAAAATATTTTTAAGAAGGAAAGAAATTAAGTTAAATCTTTCAAACATTTTGTTCAAGTTGAGCCTATGTCTAAACTATTGAAACTTGTTTTGGTATAGTGTACCCAGTGCTTTATATTTACGATCATTTTTATACAACATTTTAAAATGTCTTTGAAACCCTATAGTTTTAAACCCATCCAGGAAGATATATTTAACTGATTAATATCTTTTACAAGAAAATTATTCTACCACTTCTTGTTTAGAATTATGTTTATTAGGACGATCAAGAAACAATTATTAAAGTTGGTAATCATGTAATAAGTGCATAGTTTTTAACTCTAATTCTGAACATTTTTCTTTAAGAAAGTCTCTCGAATAAAACTAAATATATTTAGTTTTATAAAAATTACAATAAGTTAAATATATATGGTATTTTAAGAATTGTATGGGCGCCACTCCGTAAATATAATCTACAGTGTCACGCGCTTATTTAATATCGGCCGTACAAGGAGCGATTTTTTGATGTTATGGATGGAAAGTCCAAACAAAACAATTTTGCCACAAATATATTTTTTTTTTTAAACAAAAGTTATTTTTTTGGTTGAGTAGTTCCTTAAAAAGACATTCAGAATTTAAAATAAAATCAAGCTTATTAATAAAAGTAGTGGGACCTATTGAATTTCATGAGTTAAATAACAATATTCAAACCTAATTGTTACTTTTTTTCCGTAATCTTATCATATATATTTTAATCACAGAACAAACATTGAAGTTTAAAATAAAATGTTGGTATATTAACATTTATTGAACATTTTTCTTTATTACCTGTACGGGAAATTTGAATCCGTTAAAAAAATATATGAAGTAGAATTTATGCAACATAAATATTAATTGCTATTTTTAATTAAATCAGTTTTTTTGATATTTAATTTGAAAATAATTTATTTGATTTACCAATAATGCAAAAATTTAATTTAATTCGAAAATTGAATTTTTAATCAAGCGAGTATACTTATGTAAATAACACAATTAAATCACAAAACATTCATGTAGGTATAATTTAACGATCTTCTAAATGTAAAATTGAAAGTTATTTTCATTAGTAGATATAATAGCAATTTATAAAAATAAAACTATCGGTGATATTTTAAGAAAAAAGAGTGTGCATGTAAATTTTATAATTTTACTACAACGACATAAAAAGATCATTACTTATGTAATAGGCGTAATAAATGTCTTTTTGGCAGATAACCAAAGCAAATAATTATAATAATAATTTTTAATACGTATATTTTTGTATACATTTTAGTTATTATTTGACAGCAAACCAATATAATGTTTAAGGTTGTTAGAAAGTTGTACAAATATCGAAGCCCAGCGCCTTAAGTGTAGAAGTTCAAAAATAGGAAAAGGTTTGTTGACTACTAATAGACTGGGCCAAGATCATAATGCTCCGTGACGGTCTGGTTAATTGTCGAGCCCTATTTATAAAAAGTCAGTAGGAAATTTTTATTTCTTTATTTTGCACGGCTGTTTTGATAATTGAACCATCAAAAAAAATATGTATAAATGCTCATTTTTAGTGTAAAAATAAGTTTTAAACGGTTACACTAAGTATATCGTATTATTTTAAAGTTATTTTCTTAATTTCGAGGTTTACTATTTTCTAATTTATGCAAAATGATTTATCAGGTATACTATCATTCTTTATGTTTTTGTTAAATAATGATTTTAAAAAAAAAAAAACCTATAGATTAAATAATTTATTTTTAAAACCATTGTAAATATCAAGTTAATTTAAGAAAAAATGATTTCTAAGCGTAAATTTTAGGAGTAACCTTCGAAACTTAAATGGAAACGAATATTTATTTTTTTATCATTAAATGGAGAATAAAATGGATGAATAAAATGTTGTCAAGTCAACAACCAGTACTGTATTATTACTTTTTAAGTTATAATTTTTAGTGCTAGGCAAGCGAAAAACACACTTAAAAGAATTCTGATCTGTGCGTTATGGTAAAAATAAAGCGTCACTATTCACTACTTCGTCTCTCGCCATTTCTAAATCTTCAAATATTTATATTTCAAAAGTAATAATATTAACTGGTTAACGACCTGTAACATTTTATATAGACTATTTAATATTACAAAAATTATAAGTTATTCCTATTTAACTTTCAAAAGTTACTCCTAAAATTTACCTTTAGGAATAATTTTTTCTTACGATAAAATTGATATTTTAATGGTTTATAAAAATGAGTTGAATTTTAATCTAAACATTTTTATGAAAAATCCTAATTTAACGAAAAAATAGGTTGGATACTTAATAAATCACACTGTATATATTTTTATACTTTATAATATATAAAAAAATATTAAAAGACATATATAAAAGATGTAAATTTCTAAAATATATAAAACACTAAAAGAATGTTATTTTTAGCATTCATCATTAAATAAATTGTCATATATAATGGCACAGCGCAAATGTTAATTTTTGTGAAAAAAGAATGAACTTCAACCGTGGAAAAAACGTAAATTTATTTTTTTATAAATATAAATTTTTTCAAGAGTATAACGACAGACATTCTATTTATAAATTAAACATTGAAAAATGGAAATCCATTAAACTTGTTCAGGGATAAGTTTATTAGCTGTTGACGTTTAGCATGACCATGACACGGCTTTTTGACCTGCATTTTAAAATAGGAGACCGCGTTTTACCCAATAATAATATTTTTCTTATAATAAAATATATGAATGGGAAATTAATTTTAAAGATTAAAATAGAAAATAAACGACGGTTGTGTTTTCTAACTTGTTCTTATTGAAGTTGACTATCGTGACAGAAATGTTAACAAAACACAAAAAAAGAATATTTCAAGCAAAATAATAACTTTTCAATTCAAAATTATATGTGCCAAATATAGAATTTATAGTTTATATTTGGTTAACCTTTTTAAATCTTAAAGAAAATAAAGATTTCAAAGGAAACCATTACTGAAAGATATTGATTAGTTATATTATTTTAATATGCAATTTACGACAAAGTAAAATAACTTAACTTGAGATTTGATATATAAGTGTAAACTTGTAGGAAACTTGAGAAATGTAAATAAATTCACTTAGTCATATAATACATTTTAATTTTTTTACTAAACCTTTACGATTTAGAAGCAATATCTTTAAAAACAGATGTTAAGATACTGTAGTAATTATTCCAGTAACTTAAGCTACTTTATAAAATATCATTTACATTTGTAGCTAAACTATTTTACAGAATCACTCTGAGAGAATAAACACTAATTCAGCAACTCCAGTACAACAAATGGATCTCAATAACTTAATATCTGTAATAGAGAACCATATTAAGAAATTAGCTCTAAAACTAAAATAAGAAAGTTAAATCTTATGCGAAATTAACTACTAAATAAATTTTTATCAGATACAATAAAAAATATCGAAATTTAATATATTTTACTAAAAATCATTTCCAATTAGCCTTAAAATATCAAAAATATTATGGTTTGAGATAAAAGACATTATTTTTAAAAGATCTGATCATGATAAACGAGAACACTTAATTATTTAAAAATATCAGCTACCAAGAACTCATTATGGTTTATACCATTGAGACGACGTAAGTCATATAATTAATAGACTAACGCAACTACGAACTCTGATTTTAACCTAACTGTATAAGCCACGACTGCCAACACTACTATTAGTATTTATGAGTACCGACAGCTAATGTCCTATTATATCGAATTCTTTTTTATTAATAAATACAATTCCATGATGACTTCTACACAGTGATCGGTTATCATAAACCACTCAATTACTAGCAAAATAAATACTATGTTAGAAAACAATTTTCAATTTCTCTTAATTACATATAATTCTTGATTTATCATCTAATAATTACTTTTTAGAAATATCTCTTATAACTTAAAGGGGCATCAACTTAGTTTTTTTAAATGTCAACATTCATATAGTTAAATATGCTTATAAAATAGGAAATAATCTAATTAAGAAAATGACTGGTTGATAACAACTTTTGGACCAGTATTTCAGAAATTATTATCAATTTAGAATAATGATTGTTGATAAGGAGGGGTGCTGCTATTTTTATCACTAGTCACATACCGTCCGTACTCGCCTAAGAATAAAATTAGAATAATTTCCAAAATACTGATTCAAAAGTTACTATCGACCAGTCATTTTCCTAATTAGATTATTTCCTATTTTATAGGCTAGTTACATAAGTATGTTACCATTAAAAATTATAAAGTTACTTTCAGTTATTATGGATGATTCTAAAAAGTAAATATTGACCGATAAATCGAGAAATATATGCAACTAAAGAAATCCAAATATATTCCTTTCAACATTGTATTTATTTTAAGAGTAATCGAGTGGTTTATGACAAACCAATCAACTTGTAGTATAACTTAAACCCTATTATCAAAATAAGATATTTTTTCTAGTTTTAATTTAAAAAAATATGTTATATAATATGTTTATGAAGTTTTGTTATACTCCTTGATAATTACTGCATGAGATTTTGTCGCAAAGTAAGATAAAGCCGAATTTAAACCATGTTTACATGATTTAAACTAATTTATAATTTGTAAGTATAAAAATGAATCACATTACCATATTAAAACCATTTATCCCTTTAAAATAAATATTTAGTAAAATTATTAGTAAAAAGTGCATCCAGACAATAATCCTTACTATTGATCATCCCAAAATAAACCATTATAATAATTTTATGCGTTGTTAATTATTTTAATGTCCAAAAATAATCACATAATTTATTAACTTCTGCTCAATACTATATTTTTGCTATTATTCTTTAAGGATTTTTTTTATTCCAAATATGTACATATACAAGCCGTATAGTTAATTCTACTTTTTATTTTTAGTGTTCGCGTTAACTTTAAGTTAAGATATTTCAACAAAAATTTCATAAAAAAATTGCAAACGTTATTTAATAAGTTTAGTTAAGTAGAAACTAGCTTTCCAGGCTGTATTAAAAGTTTTATTAAGCAGAAAAAAAAATGTTGGTAATTAAATAATTCCATTTTGTCCCGTTTTGTTCTTTAATAATCCATCAAATATTCTTGTCTTTTTTTTTGTATAATTATATTATTTTCCAATTTTAAAGGAGCCTTTTTGACGTCTATAGCTAAATAAAACGAATTAAGATAATAGCCATTTGCGCCTCGATACTACAGCACGTAGCAATTTTGCACTTAATATACAGTAACAAAAGTTTAAATAAAAGTAAAATTATTCTTTAAGCCAAATTATTAACATTTAACGTTGCTGGTAAATAGAGTTCATTTTTGAAAAGGGTCAGTTGGGATCATTAAAAGATTAAAAATTATTAAAAAATAATTTAACCTCTCTATCTTATGAGTACCGTCGTTAATTTTATGTGGTTAAACTTTTGATAGATATAATTTTTTTAATGAACATTTACTGGTTTTGTAAAAGTTATTTTAAAATAAATGTCATTAAATAAAAATTTTAAGTATATTTGTCGAATTATAAATATTATATTATAAGATCAGTAGTACAGGTTACAAAAGGTTACATTTTTTGTACAAACATGTAATCATGGCATGCATTTTTTTTTTTAATCGTTTAACTCCTTTTACTTTAAGAAGCCATAAATTGTTTAAATTAACAATCATTATCGAGTTCAAATGAAAAAAATATTCCGGTAAAATTAACAAATGGATTTAAAATTTTTTTTTTTTATTTTATACATTTATTATTAGAAAAATAAAAATTTTAATAAAACACATATTTGTTATTTAACAAAAATTCGATAAAATAAACAAAAAATTGCTTGTGTTTAATAAAATATTATTGGACGTCAATATATTGATAATCAATTTGTTGATTTTACTAAGAAGTATTTTTATTTTTGGTACTTTTTCATACTTCTGGCAAGTACTCGAATAAGATTAAATATTCAATTAATTTTCAATAACTAATCAGATAGATTCATTTAATGCTAAGATACTAAATATTATTTTATTTTATATTAAAAAAACGAGCATGATAAAAGGTGGGCATTAACAAGTTAGAAACGTTAAAGTTAAGTTAAAAAGTTGAACGTTGAAATAACTAAATTTTGTCAGTTAATTAGATAATAACAATCAATAAATTAAAAAATATTTTGTTTTAATTATGCATATGTGGTTTAAATAAAAAAAAGTCCAATATAATTGTTTAACAATGATGGTGAATAAGACAGGATTAAATTGAATTTTCCATTACCTTAAATAATATATTTATATTACAATATAATATAATTTTCTGAATTTTTTTAAAAAACATTTTTGTTATTACTAATATTTATCTTCATATTACGTTTCAAAAGTTAAAATCGATTCTCAATCTGTAAACATCACTAGCCAATAAAAATTGATTTTAAACGATTTTGTCAAAAAAAATAATAATAATAATTAAAGACCAAATGAATTAGATAAACATTTTTATACTGAGTTAAGTTAAACAAATTGTCAATTTAACTTTTAATTATGCTAGTTAAATTTATAACTTGTTAACTTATGAACATTGTTCCTACTTATCTTAACTTGATTCCATTAACTTGTCCATCTTTGAGTGTGATTATCTGTTGTTATAAGTTGAATAAACATATAACAACTGATAAACATATTTTTAATCACTTTAACTATATAAAAAAACACTATTAATCATCAGTTGATGATTTTGGTTATGTGTCCAGTCAGACCCAAAATACTTTTAATAATTTTTTTGCAAGATTATGATTTTCTAATTATTTACTTTAGTAAACAATAAATTAACACTACAAATTGAACTGAGAATTTCATTTATAATTTTTTTGATTCTTATTAAATTTATTTGTTATAAACATTTATCTCACTTCGAAAGTTTTCTGGGACATATAAATGTTTCCGAGACAAAACAGTTTAAAGTGTATAACTGACAAAATGCATTATCATAACGTAACTTTCACTTTTTAATTACTGTCCTACCAATAAAACAGATTTCAATAAAGGGATTTTTTAAAGATTATTACCGATACAAGTGACCTGGGTCGTGGTTTGATCCTGACGCCCATTCAAGGCAGTCGCTTTGAGGGTCCAATTTCCTGTACCTGGCTTGACTAAGTTGTCGGCCCGCAGGCCGCATTGCCCAGACGAATATCCGTCTCCTAAGTACCTTAATTCGTTAGTCCCCACAGACAGAGGGACCTCGACTCCATCGGGCATCAAAACTGAGCATTGGGCTAGCGGTCCGAGTCTTGTTTGCCACTTTAAGTACAGCGTGTCGCCGTCGGTCAGTAACACGGATCGGCCGCATTGGACAACTGGTTAGTAATGTGTCAATCAATATACCAATTTTTAAATTATAATAATTATAACATGTCTAACTCATACCTTGAACGATATAGGCGGACAACAGTAGTTTGATGAGCACAGTGGAACGGTCCATTGGTTAGTTTCAATCTCACTGGCGCCGTAACGTGGGCTAGTGTAAAGCTGTTGTCAAACCGCTATCATTTAGATAGGGTGGGAGATCACAGTTTTTATATTTAGAACGTGTTTTGTCGATTATAGTTTGTCAAAAATTTTTGGCACGGGTCGAGAGGGCACAGACGTTTTTGCAGAGCCAATAACAAGGACAATGAAAAAAAAAAACTAGGGATTAATTTTTTTACATAGGAACAACAAATTTTTATTATTAAATCTTTTTTTTTTCAAACTTTAAACAGGAAATCTCATTATAATTACTTAAAAAAAAAAAATTTTTTTAATAATATAATAAAAGTAATAAAATTTTTGTAAATATATAAGTAGAATCTAGGATCTAAGTACAGACTAATACAAGTTGAAAAAACTTATAAATCAATGTGTATAAATAAATCAGATACTAATACAATACAACGTGTGGTATACACACATAGTTCATTATTAAAGATGTTTTATGTAATTTAAATTACTCTTATGTTTTTACAAACTTAAAATAATCAAATATATACAATAATATTTATGTGTATTACAGGTAACTAACAAAAAAAAAAAAAAAAAAATTACAATTTAAATCGATTTAATGTAAAGTATGGTAAAATGATTTTTTCTTATTATAATTAAAATAATTTCACAAATTTTGTCATAAAGTAGGTTAATATAAATTATACATTGTACAAAAAATATTGTCAATTTATTTTCGATATTTAACTAATTAAATAAAGATATAGACTTACAAACGACAGAATTTGTTTGGAATGTTTACAATAAATCACAAAAATTATATATTGAGTATTCAGTAATTGTTTGTAACAATTGGCCCATTACTTACAGAACACATTGTATATTTTTTTAAATAAATATAATGTTCATTTCAATAGATACTTTAAATATTTTTCAATAACATCTTAGGAAAACTTCAACATAGCATTGTCTTTTTAATTTGTTCTATAATAATCATATTTAGAGGTACATATGACAGTTACACAGAATGCATTTTTCTTAAATATTACTAACAAATAAAGTAATTATACTGAGTGCTCAGTAAGTAATGAAATAGGCCAATTATTATAAATAATGAGATAATAGAAATCCATTTCATTACTTACTGAACACCTATATATAGACATATATCACTCGAAATTCACAAATGATAAATGAGCAAGTAAACAAAAAAAATTATATTTTAAAATGGAATCGTATAGCTATCACAGTAAATATACACAGTAGCGCGTATGACGACGTGAGGGATTATAATTTATTTTCAGTCATATAAATAAAATCACTCTATAAAATTAAATAAAGCCACACAAATCGTATAAAAAAATTCTGTTCAAAAAATGATAAAAAGGAATGTTTGTGAAATAAATCAAAAAAGCAAAGTAAGATCTGTCTTAATTAAAATTATTATGAATATTGTTTTCACGTTAACTGTTCAAATTACACACAAAATATGGTAATTTAAAGATAAGATACATAAAGAAAAATGTATTTAAAATATTTTTGTTCTACAAATTTCATTTTGAAAATGAGAATTTTAATTATTAATAATTTTTACACAATAAATTAAAAAGAAAAACACGTTTCGCTTAATAATAAGAAAATTTACATATTTCATAATATGAACCCGATGCTCACAAACTTACAGCAGTTGAAAAATGCTTCAACCACTTTAACGAAAAAATGATTCCTATACTCCTCATCGTCACAAAAAACAAATGAGTGCTTAGCATAGTAGGAGTAATCAATAAAAAAAAAAACATACACATGTAAAAAACAATTCGAAAATTCACTAGGGGAACCATAATATTCACATAGTTATCGTAGAGATCAGTGGTAGCAGTACAGCTAAAAATAGAACATAGAAGATCAAGGATGGCTTCGTATCGGTAGCACCACCACAAGCTAACTGATCACGATGGTATGTTGCGGTTACAGGTACTTCCGATGGGAGCTTGCACTTATCACCGGGTATAGTGAACTTAGTCTCGTCACACAGCTCTTCGCAAGCCGGACAAACTATCACGCCTTTATGTAACCATCCATTGGCTACTAATCGGACTGTGAGCTCTTGTCCGGGAAAGTAGCAAGTATATGTATGATTAGAAACCTAAAAATATTTTAAGGGTTGAATTTTTTTTAAATAAATACAGACTACACAAATTATTAACACTTGAATATAAATAATATTCACGATTTTTATTATAACCGGTGAAACAATTATCTCATTATTTTAGATTGAATAGTAAAAAATAAAAATAGTAAATGTAGCATAAATGTATGCGTTTATCTAAAAAATTAGACATTTCTATAATCATTAAACTTATTTTTATCCAAAAGTGAATATAAAAATAGCTTTTTTTGTATGTAGACGCTATAACTGTTCTGGGTATTGTTACAGATATAAAAGTGAGTTTATCATAACTAAACTAGTAAAACTTAAGTTCACCATTTATTCTTATTGTATTTAGAATATTATTATTATGTCGAATATATAAGGATATGAAGTAATGTATAAGCTCTCCAAATTTCAATTTAACCTATCCGAAATAGATTAAATACATATTGACAATAAAAAAAATAATAAGATACGAAGAGACATATATTGCCCTATTTAAAATAGGGCAATATATTAAATTTATATTTTAAATAGCCTATTTAACTAAATAGGCTATTTAGTTAAATTTCATACCTGCTTATGTCCAACATAAATTTAGTTTCACGATATTATGTTTGAAATTCAAAAACTATACTTACAGTAATATGAAGTCTCCCGTTCTGGCATGTATACTCGTAACAACCTGAACCCCAATGTTGCCACTGTCTGACTTGTTTGCAAGTTTGTTCCTCCCACATCTGATTTGTGTGATCGAAGCACTTAGAATTTTCTCCATACACTTCTAAGGCAAAATTTTTATCTGGGTCTATGTATAGTAAATTTGTTTAATTAAATCCATTCGTTACCAGTTAATGTGAGTTAATTTTACAAATTATCGTAAGTGAAATAATTAATTACTTACGGGGATTATTTTCCGGATACTGACAGTGGGAGCCTCTAATAACAACGCTCTTTGATCTCCATATGAACTCTTGAATATATGGACAATAATCAGCTAAACTAACAGAACCACCATAATAAGCTTCGCGGCCAGGAGTAACGTGTGGAATGGAATCGAAATTCTGTAAAACAAAAATAAGTTAAACAATTCAAAAAGTGTATTTTAAATTAGTAAAAGTAAAAATTTTAATTATTCTCATAAATTAGTTTCACAGAAAAATTTTTTATAAGGCAATGAGAACAATTTATTTAAAAGCTTTTAATTAAAATATTTTAATAACTGTAAAATAATAAAGGGCATTGAATATAGGCATTATAACTGTCACAAATGAAGCATAAGTCGTATCAGAACATGAATAAAGTAATAATAGAATTTTTATGTTCAAAGAGCCATAAAAAAGAATAATTAACGGATATATTAAAGAAAATATAATAACATTTGATGGCATTAATTTAATATTAAAAAAAAAGTTGAATTACAGAGATATTATAATGAAAAAATTATAATTAATAATCTTTTTTTAAATGCGACACATTAATTATATTAAAATTATAATTTGAATACAGCAGAATTCCTAAATATAGACGATACTCTAATATTTGATTACAAAACTTTTAAAAAAAATCAGTATTCTACTTCAATATTTCCAAATTTTAAAAAATTATGTAAAAACATATACATTTTATTATAATTATATATGAATTGATTATAATCATTTGAGGTAAATATTTATTTATGTTACTATTAATTATGCTATATGGTATTTAACTTTATAGAAAAAATATCAATCTCACATTTTAAGAAAATTTCATTGCACATATTTAAAAGGTTCAATTATTCTATAAAAAAAAAAGTAATAATTTTTAGACATTGATAAATTAATGAAAAAAATATATATATTAAAAAAAAACCATTCAATGTTAAGCGTCCAGTTAATTGCAGAGGAACGTATAGGTTTAACTACAAAAAATATGTTGGTCAGAAACGTATCTTAACATCTCGCACATGAGTTAATTTCTACACTCGGTTGAACAAGTTAATAAGTACATGTAAACCACAGATATATTGTACTTTAAACACTATTTTACAGTTCGCGCTCCAATTTTTAGTCTAAATCAAAATTGAGTTAATTTCTTTTTTTTTTTTATGTAAAATTAAATAAATAACTATTTTTACTCTTGAATCTCATTTGAATTTAAGTTATACCTGATAGAAATTCGGTAAAGGCTGCACATGTTCGACTAGATTACACAGGGCAACCGAACTCCGATCATCAGTGCATTCGGTTTCCAAAGGATCTCTCTTCACTTTGTTACAAAACGGATGAATCGATTGCCCTTTAGCGCGTTTTATGTCCATCCATTGCTTACAGCTTTTTGTAACGAAGTCACATCCTAAGTTTTTACCCCAACTCAGATCTTGAGCAAGAGAGTAATTGGCCTTATACCAGCCCGTGTCTTCCATCAGTGCTAAGGTTAACCTAGAGTATACCGGATTTTGGGTGTGAGTTCCTGTCATTGCTTCGTTCTATGAGAAAAAAATAATAATTTCTTTAGTTAATTAAAAAAAAAAACATAAAAGCTGTTCTCAAAAAATGAATGATAAAATAAAAGTTAAAAGTCAAACTACGAAACTGTCAAAAGAGGTCATTTTTTTTTATTTGGACGCCAAGCATTCTAGCGTATAGCCATGGGAGGATTAAAAAAAAGCTCAAGGGTCAAATTTAATTCCTGTATTTTTGTTGATAACATGTAAAATATTATTTTGTTATGTTAGTTTGATATTAAAGAAATTCAACACGTTTAGATTTTAAAAAATAAAAAAAACAGAATAGCAGATTAAATATTGAAATACAAATAATAACATAATCAGTGATCCTTTTGAATATTATATCCTCAACTGGGAATCAAAGGTTAATATAATATTTTTCAACTTCGACGTACGTAATAAATAAATAAACATTCGAAAATCAAATAATAATAGAAGAAAGTTTTTTTTTGTTTAAGACTTATTAGACTGAATAACTTAATGAATTTTCTTGAGAAAAATATTTTGTTACTAAAAATGAGTAGTTTGTGATATACTGATCACCCTTTAGAAGGATAGAAACCAATCGGTGACATGTAGCACAAGTCGTAAAACTTAAAAAAAATCTATATGTTAATGTGAAATCTCTAATAGTCCACATTAACAAAGAAAATAATTAAAACACCTCAAATATTCTTTTTTCCCAGTGAGTTAAAGCAGTGCCATCTTCTCCTTGATCTTCTAGTTCAGCACCTTCTAGGAATGAACAGTTAAAATGTTTACGGACTTCTTCGACTACTCTCGGTGTCACCATCATTTGCACTTCTTTATCAACCACCCCGCCGTGAACAGTCCAGTTACGTCTCACGATAGTCTTAATCACTTTATCACTCCATTGTCTAGCTTGCAGTCTACAAATAAAATATTAATATTATTCAATGGAAAAACATAAAATACATAAAAACAGTAACAGACTAAGCCCAACCGGTAAGTCGGAAAATTCCCTAGCCGCTCGTATTTAAATACAACTCGCGTGTAGAAAGAAATAAATTGATGTTGACTCCTCTTAATTAACAAGGCCAACTCGTACTGTGATACCCTCGGACATTTTTTTTACGATAGTCCGTTGAAAAGTGGTTTTAAGAGATATTTTGAAATAACATTGATGATTTATACTTAAAATATCTTTTATTTATAAGTATTGCTCGCCAAGACATTAATATTTATTGACATTTGCTCGACAAAATGTTTATGTGTTGTGTAATCGAATAGTATTTAATTTTACGCAATTTTAGCTTTAAAACAAACACTAGGAACAAGGGTATTATTAAAGTAATAGTAAACAGTGTTTTTTAATGTTAATAAAAAAAAAACTTATAAAATAATATAATAAATAAACTAACGTCAGACGAATAACAAAAATTACATTTCAAACGAGTAAATCATAATATCAAATTTTAATTCAAAAGTAGGCCTTTTGTTATTATCGAATAATTTTCAAGTGTGTGAATTATTATTTTATGAAAATAATTTTTCTTTAGCCAAGATTTTTATTGAAAACATGTCAGTTTGATTTTACACTAAAATTATTTAAAGAATCATAAACAGGCTTCATAATATAAAGAATTTTAGTTATCTCAATAAAATCAATTAAATATCCAGATACAAGTAGAGTTCACTTTAAAGATAATAATTACATTAAAAATGAACAAATGTCCACGAGAACGTTTAATCATAACAATTATTCTAACTGAGCCTATTGAAATCAATATTACGATAAAAAATGTGTTGACTTCAATAACTATAATTTCAACATCGATAACATTTAAAAAAAGCCATTTCCATTAGTTCTAATAATCAAATCAAGATTTGTAAATTTAATTAATCGACGCTTATAACTAAATTATAATTGACTCTTTGTAGTTTGGTGTATTACCGATAACAATATCTTATTAAGAAAAAAATTTGTAATTTTAATATAATATTATTGGAAAAAAAAAAAAAAAAAAAAGAAGTGCTCAAAAAGTTATATTACCATTATTATCCAACACTAAATGCGAATATTAAAAAATGTTTTGACAATATATTCTTAATTATAACCACGTAGATGAACGAATGAATTAACAGTTGAGCAAGAACTTATTTCCATCAACAATTACAAACTACTCAGTTATAGGTGTTAATTATATATAATATCAGCCGAAAATTCTTTAGTCAACTGCAAACTGCGGGACACAAAAAACGCAACTAGGGGACTCTGCGATAAAATATAAGGCTCCTGTGTTACTCTAAAGTTACTCGATTACATTCTTCTGTGTGCCGCATTTAAGTAATCAAACAAACCCGACAACAATTTGCAAGATCCTTTTGATATATTACAGTTTAAATTATACTTTTGGCACTCACCAGACAGTAAACTTTGCTATTGAAATATTAACATCAATATTACATTAAACATTTTATTCTATTTAACTACCAAATTAATAATGAAAGTTTTAATTTGTTGGTTTTTAATTAAGAAAGAATTAACAAGTGAAAACTTGATTTAAAATGATAACTTTGTGGGTTGTTAAATTTTATCGAATTTATTACCTTTAATAAAAACAGTACGTATTCACTGTTAGCAATTACAAAATCATTCGATATAAATAACATAAAAAAATTGACGGAATAGGCACGGAACACGTTTTTAAATTTACCAAGCAACTTTACGGTGAATTGAATTTTAGCCAATCAAACTTTAGGCCACAAATTATTTCCTGTCGAATTTTTCACCGAGTAATTTTCGATGAAATCACGACAGACAAACAAACTTAAATAAACACATTTCACTTACTTTTCGTTGAGTCGCGGTTTGCCGTTGTCCTCTCTGGGGGTAAGCGGATAGCCGTTGACGTCACGATAAAATGCAAAGAGACTGACGGAGAATCCGAGGGCGTGCAGTATTTCGTGTTTGACGGTGGACAGGAGAACTTCGAGTTCCTGGGGCTTTGTGCTGATACTTTCGGGACAAAGATTAGCGTGTCCGGCAATGGGTCGATCCAGTGACGATTCCTGTTGACAATGAGCGGCGTAGGCGACCGTCAGACCTTTGTGACATCTTTCGGTTTCCATCGCACTGACATAGAATACGAAATCAGCCCCTTCGATGCCCGCTCCTGATTGAGACGTCCCGGTGCCACAATCCATGCCGGAAGCATTGCAAGTTTTACAGGCCTAAGGAATGATTAAATTTCTTTAGAAACAATCTTGTTTTTGAATTCCGAATGTACACCGACCGCCGCTCTAAGCGCATAAACATCGAGTTATTACGACAACTCGACTTTTCGTGTAATAATTACTCTGCGCGTACAGTAAAAAACGGATTGGGTCGATTTCGTTATACGAAATGTATTTCTCGATTATAATCGGAAAACTTTTCACAAAAGCTAATATTTCGTCCGAGTTTCGACGTAAATGAATTATGGTGATTTTAGATAAAAAAATGCATACCTCCAAGTGTTCCTCGGGCACTTGAACTTCACCGCACATCGTTCTGTCTTCGCACGCGTTTTTACAATAGGGATGCGGATCGCCTTTGCGGTAAAACACTTGATTGTTTAAACATTTCCTGTAATGCACACAAACAGGGCTAGTAAACGTGTTTGAAAATCTAATTATACTAAACTAAACAATTTCAGTGCGCCAGATAAACATTATCGATTGACTGATAACGAACAGAACATAATTAATTTTCGCGAAAATAATTTTTCAATAAAAACAAATGTCAAAAGGTTGGTCGTGTGTAGTCAACAACATCAGATGTTGCGTCGGTTCACAATTCAACTCTCGGTTAACATTTTTTTTTTTTTACTTTTTCATACTGTTGATTGAAATTTGTAATAAAAATGAAAGTAAAAATACCCAAGGCAATTAAACGTTATACGAAAATCAAACTAGCGCCGGCACATTTAAAAATTGTTTTGTATTGAACGAATTTCGGTTGCTTAAAACACATCTAGTTTTTTTTTAAGAAGACAACTTTTTTGATCGGATGGATTACAGTGCGATATAAAAATTTGCATGTTAACAAATAGACATCGTATAAATAACCGAGTGTAAATGAAAATCGTGCTTTTTACCCACGTGAGACGCGGTTTATTCAATTTTTCAACAATAGTATTTAATCGTAAATACATTGTACTCATATCGCAGCCATGAGCATTTTAATAACTGTTGTAATAGCAATTATCGCTAATTATTATTGTTTCGAACTCCTCCTAATCGGTATAAGCAATCGAATGTTTCATTGCACAAGACGTTAAACTCATGTTTTCAAAAAAAAAATCGTTTGATTTGTTATGTAAACGATAGCGCACATGTTATTCTAATTGCATTAATTTTGTACAGACAATGTAAGCAAAATGGACCATTTGAAAGGTTATAAATTAAAAACTGTGCCACAGAGCGAGTTAAAATAACATTGCATTAAAATTACCATATCGGGTTAGTTCAAGACTACTAATTGCACATTTAAAAATAGCATGGAAACACGAAATTATATTTTATGGCTATTCTAAAAGTAATATTTTCATCATCAAAAATGGAAATATAAGTATGTTTAAAAAGTGTATACCGGAAGAGTTTAGATAAAATAGATAACGCAATATTTAAATACTCTGAACAAAAAAAAAGCACTAGACGGTTCATAAACTGTAAAATAAATAATTAGGAAAATGTATTTGAATTATCAACTTAATACTCTGATGGTAATATTACAAAATAATTTACCTGTTCAGTCGAATAACATTTTCGGTTTTTCGGACCATTAGCGCCTGCTCCCAAAACCTCACGGCTTCCGGTAAAATAGTATTCTGAAAATCACAAAGCAGTTGCAAGTATTTAATAAAATATATTTTTGTCATGATAAACTAAAAAGCATAATTAAACTGTTCAAACAATGTAATCACGTTTTAATCACTGCATTATAATGTAACGGGCCTACGGCTAAAGGAACCCGACACCGATATCCTTACACTGTTAATTACTCGAATACTTTCTAATGTCCATCGGTTGGCCAACACGTATCGATACAGAGAAAATCATTACTAGATCATCTCACGATTTTCATAATAACATGATATGCGTTTATATAATTTTGAAGCGCATATGGTCTACTCGTAATGCAGTTTTTTTTATCGCAGTTATGGTAAATGTCGTAAGAGCAAAAAAAGCGTCTCGGCGAAATCTGCGGCGCGTTAAATGTCGTCAATTTGAGTTTATTGATATTGAAATTTCAATCGTACAAAATAACGTCCGCACGTTTTACTTTCAATATTTTACGGAATTCGCACGACTCGTGCCAGTGCCGTCCCTTTTCTGAGTATGCAACAAACAAACACCCAACGCGAATAATTCAAATTCCTCTTCGCAAAAACAAACTGAATAATTCGTACGGAAAATTCTATTTAATTTTTAACGCAAATTTGAATTTCATCGATCGTACGATCAGACGGTTTAGCGCAATTCACATTGTTCACTATTAGTGAATTGCTAAAACCACATTTAAATGTGCGCTAATTATGCATTTAGCGTAACAAAAATTAGGTTAGCGATTACAACATGTGGTTACAATTACACTACACGCGCGTGTTGGAGAAATTCACAGTTTTATCGAACAAGTCCAAAGAAAGTGATAAAACATCTGTAGTGTAACAGTGAGTAGATATATTTTCTATAAGTTCTACACTTTGTTTGCAATTAAGGTTAGGAATTCTATGCAATTATGCATTTTCTTAAGTTATCCTGAACACGTTATCAGCTAGATTTTTATCAATTTATTCGAAAATTCAGTCATTGATGAAGGAAAAATATCAACGAAAAATATTTCTTTTTAGCGAGATTAAATTTTTTCAATTTTCTTTTTAATTCGAATTTTTTTTTTTTTTACCGTTAGGTGGGATTACACCAATTAAATTGATGTAGCCCGAGGAATTTTGAATATAGTGTATTCGCATTGCGTTCTACTATAAATATAAATAAACTTAAAACTGAACAAGCATGACATATTAAAGATAATGTAAATTAAATTATAGTGGTTTCAGGTGATTAAAACATCGATTCAGTGAAAATTTAATTCGAAAAGCACGAGAAAATTATATTTAAATAACAAAAATGAGAAAACAATCTCTTCGCTGTAAATTTTCCTTTGAGTAAGAAACAACTTGTGATATTGAGTAAAGCTCAAACAACTTACTCCCAAAAATGGAATTTATAAATTAAATGCCGATGTCGTCAAAAGTCATTCGCCATAATTCTTTGTAAAATTTAATTAATAACGAGCCATGTCCTCAAATTTATACATTGTTAACTAATTCAAACATTCTTCTACACTTACCAGTTAAAATTTCATAACAAGTATATTACTTTTTGCAAAATTAAATTAATGAAATTAGGTTAAAAATAAATTATAATTCTGACACAGTAGTTTTTACTAAACCTGTAGCATATCTAAATAAATCTTCTGGAAGGATTTGCTATTACTATGNTTAAAAATACTATTCAATACCAATGAAAGTATTTGAATACTTTTATTCAAATACATTTACTCAAATGCTTTACGCCTTTGCCTGTAGCATATCTAAATAAATCTTCTGGAAGGATTTGCTATTACTATGCTATCTCATGTAGTACATTGCTATAAAACAACGCGAATCTTTGTAGTTTATACAGAACAATTTCAATAATAATACACAGTAAAAAATAAAATAACAGACTTTATTCATACATTTTGTTATAGAAAATTTTCCTAACATAATAAATCACACAGAACAACAACATGTAGTTTTTTTTATCAAAATACCTATTCGCTACATTCGTTTATTTGTAAAAATACAAAATTATCAATACAAAGTGTATTATAGTATTTAGTTTGAGTGGTATGTGAAGTAAAATATTGTGTACAATTTTCATAAAATTTGTCCATTGACATTTANCAATACAAAGTGTATTATAGTATTTAGTTTGAGTGGTATGTGAAGTAAAATATTGTGTACAATTTTCATAAAATTTGTCCATTAAACTATGACTACTACCACAAAATCCTGATTGATGTGTTTCAAAAGTATAACTGATTTTTTTCACGAAATTAAAAAAAACATGGATATTACTTACGCGGATAATAAAAACTGTAATAATTTTATGGGGAACTGTCCTTATTAAACTCTTGAAATTTATAATCCTTGGGAGTTTAACAATGAAATTTTCAATACTTTCGTAAATATGAAATCATCAAAATTACAACCCAAATTGTCAACAATGACAATTAGTTGTTTAATTTTTCGCATAGTATTAATATTTTCTATTGTTACTAATTTTAAACAATAACTGCCGTGTGTTCACAAAATATCTAGAAAGTCAATTAATTTGTTCTCATTGAGTATATTTCTCAGTAAAACACGCAATACCGAAGATTTCAATATTAATTTTCTCAATAATTATCGAGTAAACGGTAAGAAATTTAGATGTTCTTCACTTTATTTCGGCGATTAATTAGCTAGTAAAATTGATTAACTTCTATCGAATTAACGTCATATAATAGAAGTTGTACCAATGAGTAACTAGCGTCCTTCAAATACTCATAGAGTTAATATTGTCTGCGCACATACTAATTGATTAAGTATTAACAGATTGTAAATACCAGTGAAAAACAAATAGAAATTTCCGTTTCTGCGTTCGATAAAAAAATGATCAAAACTAATACTAAACGGCCTAGCTCAGTCGGTAATGCGTCATGAGTAGGTTCGGTTCCGTTGGGCTGTAAGTTTTTCTGTCCTCTCTGGAACAAGCAATAGCTTTTAGACGTTAAACATGATTAATGATGAATAAATAATTAACATTTTAGCATAACATATATCTTAGAAACACATTTTAGCAGTTGAATGAGCTGTTGTTGATATTAGAAAACATTTAACTTAAATAGTAGATAAATGACATTATTCATATAAAAGTCTATAAAATTCAATTAACATTAGCTTTATTCAACTTGTTATTCCGGACATCGGAAAAATATAGACTATAAGACAACGAGAAATAAAAAAAATATTTTTACTTAAAAAAATACAATACATATAACGGAGACATGTATTCACAATTTTCAATCGAATTATTGGAAATTTAGTAAATTTTGTGTCATAAAAAAAATAACTTAATTTGATTAACTAAAACTATATTCACTATCTTGATAATAACAACTATTAAAATAAAAATTAGTTCAACTTCAAATCTGACTCTTTTGTCATAAGTTCAGTTTTATCGGAAAAATGGTTAACACAAGACGTGCTTGGTATTACTGAAATGGAATTATTGTATTTCTTTGCACTTGGGATTTCAAGCTTGACTTGTCGATTGATAAAAGTATAACTCTTAAGTCAAACAAAACATATGAACAAACTTGGTGATAGGTATAAGATAAAGCGAGTGAATGAAACTGGCGATTTGGTGTTTTCCTTTTCAAACTATCATAGTTTATGATACGCGTTTTCTAGTTATCCTCAAATCTCTAACACAAACCTGTCACGGTTTAGGAAACCCAACCATACCTTCGTTAAACTAGTAGTTATGTAAAGGTTAATGATCATCATCATTATAAATCACTGCGTTTTTGAAACAAAATAATACATTTTTTAAATCTATACATAATAAATTCATTAAAAAAACTCGAAAAAAGAGTTATTAATTTTAATGAATACAATGCGCCAAAGATCCTGACTAAACAATACACAGCAAAAGTATGCACATATGTCGCGTGTACTGTCAAAAATGTTAATTCAAAATTATTGCATCAATATTAATCGTTGTTTTTTTAGTTTCAATAATTAAATAATTTCATGTGGCATTAATAAAGGTTTTGTTTTAAGGAGAGCGCGAATATAATCACGTTTTTAAACTCAAAAAAAAATATATTGATATTCCCAGAAAAGCGTTTTTTTCCTTGTTCTATTATATATTGATATAAAGAAATAATAAGTGTAGTAAAAAACAAATATACGTCGTTTTTATTATATAATTGTTTTTATTTCGATAATGTGCCGTTCCACGCTAGTTTTTTGTATAAACAGTTGTATGTAAACATCCTAATCCAAAAAGTAAATTTCATAAAGAGATTTACATTTTGTCGGTCTAAATGTTTACTAAAGTTTATTTTTTTTAAATCTCTTAACATTTATATCTTTTGGCGTAGAAAAAGCTAAAAGGACAGAACGTGACTAGATTTTTACAAATGAAGTCCATAGCGACGTAGCTATAATTAATTTTCATTCTAGACTTCGCTTCCAAATGGACTCCATTTAAAAAAATACCCACTTTCAGTACCACTTTCGTTTTTTTATTGAACGCCTCCGTCGTAGCTATTTCTCACATGCACAGTTAGCACTTGCCGTAAAACGATATCGATCGTTGCCCACTCGATTGGCAGAACAGTATTTCACTTGTCAATTTGGGCAACTACTAGAAAACGCTCTGTTTCTAAAACATGACGATGACAACTCGTTATATAATATAATTACACGAGGTGGCATGTGTGCTATTATTATTTAAACGAGCAACGGTCGCCGCAGAACAGACACAATCGCTGCAGAACGGTCGTGATCCAGTTACGTGATAGGACCTGTTTTCGCTGGCTTAGTACACGCCATAGATATGTATACATTAATGATGCTGTTCTTATTATTGTTATGAGAGCACTTCCGGATACAATACGGGCCATGCACAGAGACGGAGGAAACAATAACCGCCGGGTAGTTTATCGAAAGTTAATGGCGGTCGACCTTTTCTGAGCGCCGTAGGTGACTTAATAAACACTCTCGTGAATTTCTGATGTGTTGGTTAAAAAAAAAAAAACAGCACTGCTACTGTCATTGTCATTTTTTGAATTCCCAGAGCACAGAAACGTGGTATTTTATTAGACTTTGTATAACAACAGACACCTGTAACAATATTTGGAGCACCGACTTTTATTTTAGTTGAGGGACACGTTCGTCTAAGATGGTTAGTCCTTTTGATTTATTTCATAAATTAAGTTCCACTGATATAAAGTTCTTCAGTAACACTATTACAGTTTGGTTTTTTCTTACAGACTATTTATTTTCTCACCGACGTAAAAACGAAATTTGAATAATTCGTTTCCGTTAGTCTCGCTCAGTAATACCGAACATATATTTCATACAGTACTATATCAGAAATGATTTTTTATTCAAATATACCACACGGTAACTCAAGTAAAACATTTGTAATCCTTAGACTTTTGTTAAGCAAATTAACATATAAATATTTAGATTTCAAGTAGCATTGTGTAGATTTAAATAAGAATTCTTATAATTATTCAATATAATAAGTAGTAAAATTATACGATGCTTACGTAATTTTCAAATATGTAATGTGAAATATTTTTTATGTTTTAAAAATTTTAAAAGATACGCGTGTAGCAAAACATTCTAAAGTACAATGATAACTAAAAAGATTATTTATTCACTGGTCGTATTGAAATATTTGGAACTTAAAAAATACCTACAAATGTACCAAAAAAAATAACCAAGTCAAAAAATAAATTTAGAACAGCATATACAGCAAATACCACGAATAGAGTTTTGACTATTCATTATAAAATACTAAGAGCACAAAATTAAAACGTTTAAATAATTAAGTCTTCATAGACATACATGTTAAATATGTAACAAATTAATTTATTATTTAGAGAAAAAAGATAAATAATAAGGCGTGATATTAGATTTAAAATTATAATATCGATTTTAGACTTAAACTCTATATATTACATACTTACAGTATGTATCTACTATGGTGGAAAGTATACATGAAATTAGTCATGCAAGAAATATTTGTATCTTTTAACTTGGTTTTCATAGTTTTTTTTATTTGATAGATACAATAGTGAAATATTTAAATATAGACTAACAGATTATAAAATAAGCTGATAAAAGATAATTCAAATAACATAGTTATAACAAAAGAGTCACAACACACAACTTGCTATAAACATTTTTATTCGAAGAAATAGTAAATATAAAACCAAAACCTTTTAATTTTTACATTAAGTTTAAAAATTATGTAAAATCTACAAGTAATTAGAAATAAAAATTGTTTATTTGATCTTAAATAATTTTATTTGATTTTGGGTTAGACGGAAACACGACGCTATAAAATAAAGAGTCATGATGAAGTAGAAGATCCTCCTTACTGCATACTTAGTACAATGATCTGCAAAATTGAGTAGCCCACACATACTTACAAATAACTCTACGTTAACGTTTTCTATGATGGCTTTTTATTATAAACTTCGACTAAATATACACTTTCATTTAAATGAAAGCAAATAAATTTAAGCATAAAAAACTTGTAAGTAATAAAGAAAATCTATTGAAAGCTTTTAAGACTTACATTACTTTTTTTTTACAACTTTAGCTATAGTAAAATATAAGCCAACACTTATAAGGTTTAAACTTTATTTATACATTATTAGTTAAGTGATTTCTGCTGGGAAATACATTTAAAGGTTGTATGGCACGTTTTAATTTTGATTTATGTGAGTATATATTAAATATTCTCACTCGGTTAAAAAATATATGGAAGTAAGAACACAATTTAATAATCGTTTGTAGATCAGTCAGTCTAAAACACATCTAATCTTATAATAATACTACTAATACTAATACTGTTGTATCATACATTGTGAATTATTAATTATGATCCGACAAGCTTGTCACAACCCAACGAATCGTTAAGTATAATTGATGTAATGCCGTTAAAAAAATGTGTAATTTTTGTATTCGGTCTAACGCCTACACAATTATGATAGTGATATAACAAGTCAAAGGTCTTATACGACTGGACAGACAGTGAACTGTATTAGCCGGAGAAAGGACTACAATACATTTTTAAGTACGCATTGCAGACACAGATAACAACAGTAAACAATTCTTTATGAGGGAAACCTACATTAAGTTGTTCGAGTTGAGTTGAGAATTATCTAATAGAACTTAATGTTTCATTATTTCACAAACACACGAAGAACGGATTCGCTGTTTAAAAAGTTTTTGTACAACTGTTGATGACACGCCAATTCATAGTGTGTCCAGGATTAACATTGGGAATACCAAATAGTTGAAAAACGTGATGCAATTATATATGAGCAATATTAATTGTATTTCTCTGACTGATGTTTTTAACTAATAAATATTTATACAAGTGTATAAATGTTCATCATTCAATAATTTCCGTTATTTGGAAAGTAATACTCGTGGCTTTCATGGAAAATATATATATTTGATTATTGTAGAAGTAAATTATTTATGTAAAGAATAAAATGATGATGAAAATAGGTTTATCAAATAATATTTTGCCGATGTAAAGTTTAAGTCAACATTTAAATATTGACTAATAAGAGAATTTTATTTTTAATTTTGAAAAAAACGAAGTCAAAAATCGTGAAATTATTATCAATATATGAATATTTATAACACAAAATAAAATATAAGATCAATGCATACATCGAATGAAACTGACAAAATTGAACCGAACTTAAATTATATTCGCTTAGAGAAAAAAATCAGTTGCGGTACTTAATTCCGGTCGTGCTACCGATTTTTTGTGACTAATCGTTTGAACGATAAATCATAGCCGGGTATTCATCAAACAGCCATTAATTACACGGTTTAAATGGAGTTTACCAAAAGTATATCGCTTACTTGACTAATTAATTCGATTAAGACTAATTCAAGAATAGGTCGAGCTATTTTTCAACTAAGCTTAATCGAATTAATATTTTAGTGCGAATGATCATTATAAATATAAACATATATTTATTTTAATATGATACAAGTTAAGTATATGATATATGTATATTATTCGACTATAAAATATGTTGATAAGTTAATAACGATAAATAACTCAACATTAATTAGAATTGACTACCTAATTACCTCATAAACACTCCTAATAATAAAATAATTTAAATGAAAAATTCAAAGACAAAAACTCAATTTAGTAACAGATATATTTTGCACATATGAAGTTTTTCACGCCAAGTGATGACAAACTGAAATTTCAATTGTTATTACATTCTTCTTTCTGCTTTATGAAAAAATAAAATGAAATTGAAAAGAATTACCTTGTGTAACAGGGACGATTTATTTGAATTTGTAACAATCTGAATGATTAAAAACCATATATTTTTCTTTGTTTCATGATTAAAAATTTGATGAAATTTCATATAAGTTCAGCCTTTAGTATTTGTGTTTATTGTATAAGATTTAACATTAGATATATTTATACCAAAAATTAAGAAAACAGTTTGAGCTGTGCATAATAACATACTTTTTAATTAAAAGTATATAATTGATTTTATTTTTAAATTTTGCAGTTTTGTTTACGATTTGTTTAATATCAATAACTTTAAAGTGTAGGTGTAAATTATATTTTTGACATTTTACGGATAATTAATTAAAGTTTGTTAGTTTAATTTATAAGAAATAACTATACAATTAGTATTTTGAATGATATAAAGAACATAAAGTAATTAAAAACTAATTTTAGTATGAGCTCTAATATTATTTTATCATAAAAATAGCTATTGAAATAATATAAAATAACTTACGTTTATCAATTGAAACTTTTCTTCTGTAAGCCTGGAAAATAATATATTCAATTAATAATAAAACAAAAATTCAATAATAATTTTTCATAATTAAACAGGTAAATATTGATTATTAGTTCGTAGATAGTTTTAATAAAAATATGTGATTACACAAATGTTTAATAAGTAAGTTTCAATTATATCATGGTAAATTTGATAATAATTAAGGAGAAACTTTTTCTACTTAATTTTTTTGTTTTTATTTTAAATAGATAGACGTCTTTAAAAAGTAAATTATTACGCTCATATAAGTAAACATTGAACAAAAGATAATCTAAACGAATCGATTTCACTTATTCTATGACCACAAACTACATTGACTTTTAAATAATTCGTTAACATAAACATTTAACCATATACTTATTAAAAACAAGTTTTAAGTGAAATACCGCTTGTTAAAAAATGAATATACTTTTTTATTTGCTTTAAAATTAATTGCTTAACGTTCTATTTAACATTAATAATTAATGATCCAAAATTAAAGATATTTTTATGACATGACACGATAAATCCCATTTCAAAAAATTCAATTTAAAAACCATTTGTTCATGAAAAATCATTATGGATGCATTAAAAAATAAACTCAACTAGCAATTCAAGTTTAATAAAGAATGATTTAATAAATATTAGTATATTGTACCAGAGATGTGAATTTATTATTGAATAATAAGGGAGCGCATAAAATATAAATGTTCCATTTATATTAAATTTTAATCGATGTTACTCTCACTATAGATGACATAATTACGTCTAAATTATTAACAATACAGTTAAATTTCATACAGACATTGTAAACGGGCACTTAACTAAACATTTATCTAATTCTATAATATATTAAAGAGTTTTTTCTACAATTAAAATGAATATTTTTTTTTTAAGTTTTCGTTAGTAATCATATTGGTTTGGAAATTTGTTAATAAATATAGTAGCTTATTGATAAACTAATCAATATCAGTTTAATAATTAAATAAATAAGTCAACTAGGACTATATTTACAAAGTGAATAATACAGATATAATATAATACTTCAACAAATCATTCATTCAAAATGAAAACGTTTAAGCGTTTACGCTGATTTTGTAAAAAAAATACTCATTTATAAATTGACAATAATAACGTGTATATACGTGCAAAATTTGAAATATAACAACATCAGTTATTCATCATTGAATAACTGGATGTAAAAATATGATATAAAGAAACAGAAATATATATATATATATATATATATTTTTTTTTTTGTTCAGAAATAACAAAATCACAATCAATACTATTACCTAGAGCAAAAATCACTCACAAAAGTCAAAAACATAACTCGGAGATAATTACTAAATAAGTAAGTACTATTATACAAGTAAACAAACAAAGAATTCAATTACAAAAATAAGTTTTGAGAGTACCGATTGTACTTAATTTACTATAGAAACACTGCACGAGAATATAATAGTAATGTTCATAAGCTTTGTATTAATTACCGTGTGCGAAACATGTATGCTCAGACATAACGATTTTACCAAACTTCTGCAATAACCCTAACACAGTCAATATGATATAACCGAAGTAAAATCCCACAACTTGATCTAGAATTTCCGCATAATATGTAACATTAATAAATACTCACGGCCTGAAAAAATGGAATCTAACAATAGAATGGTTGTCCAAGACGCTTTTACCATACAATAATGTTTATATTAAAAATGTTTTTAGCAGACCTTAGTTATAAAACATTATACATTTGAAGGTACCAAAGAATTTTCAACTATATATTAAATCAAACGGTTTCCATGTACTTAAACCGTCATTTAATTAGTACAGTACAGAAAATTACACATCATTGTGTACCTAATGAAAATTACCCAACGGAGTAACACTATGACAATATTATGTGCCCGGGGAAAGTTTTTCTTTCGTACTTTAACATTCGGTTCAAAGAAAGACAAACAATTGTGTAATGATATCGTAAAGCGTTTATTAAGTACAATTTAATTTAAAATAATATTATTTGTAAACACTTTTTATATTTTGTTTTAACACTTGTATTTAGTTTTCAGGTGTAAACAGATAAATTAAAAACTGTTAAAAATTAGATTATAATTCATATCGAATGTTGTCACGAACTCAGTTGTAAAATTGAAAATACATCTAGTTAAGTGACATAAAAGATAAACTTTAGAAAATTTAATAATTTTGTTATTAATACAGTTTTCAATGCCGTTGAAAATGTAAAAGTTGTAATGAAACAAAATGAAGACAAATATACAAAAAAATGAGAAAATTAATAAAGTTAAAATTAAAAAAAAAAAGTTAGTAAAAAGAATAAAACAATTAAGTTCTCAAAATTAATTTCTTTAAACTGGATTCATGAAATTAAAAATGTCATAGTAAACAATTAAAAAAAACTTAACAATTTATACCCCCGCAGGTGTGTAAAAAATCGTTCTTTTCTTTAAAAATAATTTGATGTCATTGTTGATTTAAATAAAACTTTTCATATTTTTCTTTACTTCTATCTTTATTGAATCTATTATTTATCATGAGCAATACATTTATCTCATTAGGTTAATAGTCCAAATATTCTCTCCAACGATATTAGACTTCTGTGTTTAATTAATACTTAGCGAGTGTTCATTTAAACCCCATTAATAGCAATAGAAAACGTGATAATGAATCATTTACAAAAGGTTCATTTCTTCAATAGAACAATTTGATATATCGGCTCTTGAGGTTAGCGGCGATACTTACACTTTCTGTCAGTTTTAAAATTAAAACTATGAACACAAGTGCGCACACGATGTACCTGATATGTCATTGTAAACAGTTACAATACATACAAACTAGGATAAATATTTAAAATGTTGATGTACATTTTACCGCGACCTTAGATTATAATTACTGTTTCCGAGTGATTAAAGTAAAAGTGAATTCTTTAATGTCGACTGGATTTAAAAAAATCACGAATTTAAAATCATCATACAATTAAATGTTCATTAATAAATATCAAGAAAATGACTACATTTACGCCTGATTCATTAAGGAATTCATAAAATTTCATGATTTTTGCTCTTTAACGCTATTATAGCTAATTAAATGTGTATAGTGGTAATTCAAATACGAATGAATGCTTATAAATGAAAAATAAGACGTTGAATAAAAACTGACTCTATACATACATTTCATTTTATTTAGTTATTTTTTCAAATAAAAATCCATTATTAAATGAATCGGATAATTAATACCATTTTTTAAATTAGGTAGTTTCTAATTGTTCCTATCGAGAAAAAAATACATATCACGAGTTCACTGACAACATTTCTATTTTGAATAAACACTCGATCATTTATCAACTCGTAAAAGTCTCTTGAAATGCAATGGATACCGGTTTCCAAATTAACGTTTATGCAAACTCTTTAAAGTATTGAATATATCCAATCGAATTTCGAGAGGCATTTACCGACAAACTTTTAGAAATTAGACTTACAAAAACGACCTTCCGCTGACAAACAAATGGTCAGCTTCATGTAACACGTAAATAACGACCGAAATAAATGTAAGTGTTACATTTCAATAAGCTATCAAATAGTATCAAATTGAATTTAATTCACCTTAACAGTCAATGGCCCATTATGACGCAACAAACAGTAGCTGCATTGTTTAAAAATGTCAAAAAATAATAGTTAGCTATCCGTTATTGTTTCCGGTAAAATTTATCATATTTCTGTTACATTAAAATTCACATTACATTTGTTATTCAACAAAGAATTTCAAAGATTTCTATTGAAATATTTTAATAGAAAATATCAGAATTTGACAACTAGTAATTCTCAACAATAGCACTAGGGAAGTTAATCGAATACGAGTTATGCGTTAGGTGAATTTTGAATTACATAGGTAGTAATTAAACTTAAACATTTATGTACATGGTTGATGAATTATATAATTTTTTAATAGACAATGGCCATAAGAAAATATTTTCGACCGAAAAATCCAATGAGTTTTCATTTTTAAAAGAATTACAGTTCATTGAAACTAATAACCAAAAATTGATGACTACAATATTTGTCTAAATTTAGATATAAAAATGAAGATACAACATGGATGTTTTTTAATTTTTTATACACTATAACATCATATTCACTACACAGTTAAAACTGAGTACGGAAAATACTTAAAAATGGTTCAGATATACTACTCGTTTTAGTAGCAAAAATAACTATGAATCAAAAAACAATTCCAAAAATCAAAAGAGTTGTCAGTAAAATCACATAAAATGACTTTAATTTTACAAAAAATTTATACAAAATTATCAAAATTAATGTATTAATGTCAACATCTTAAGTATTTTCGATATTTGACAATAATGTTTATAATGGTCTGCGAAACAGTATAGATTCAATTTTAGAAATTAGAAAAATAACAATTTTTGCACTATCAGTATGTTTGTTTTCCTTATTTTATTAATATTACGGTTCTCATTTATCGGAAAATAGGTCTAATAATCAAAATATGTGTGCTAAATCTGAAAAAAACTGTAATCCATTCGAGTGTCTGTATGATCGCAACAATGTTTCGTCGTCGAGTTTTTAAATCCGAATTAAGACTTATCGCACAATAAACGTTATTATTATTTATATACGCGTTACGTCGGATTGTACGACATGACAAATGGGTTCAATTCAAAGTGCAACGAATAGTATAAAATGGAAAATTAGATTTTAATTCGCCGCTGTTAGTATTGCTGCCAACAAAAGGTCACTTGCCTAATGGTATCCAATAAAGATGCCGACGTACGAGAGTCGAAAGAGAAAAACTTTGAACACACGAAACCTTTTTACACGTGAGTTATGATCAGTTCGGACTGGTTTACAAAACGTACAGGTTATGGGAGTCATTTTGCCCAGCTATGTTTCTTATCTTCTACACATGTTCATAGCAACGTCCACTACGCCTATATAATCGACTTTGTATAAGGTCTTAAACAAATAAAAGTATACT